TCTCTAATTTCTTAACGTGTTTGACCAGGTGTGGGTGTATGGATGTATGTGTGTGTATACTCACCAAGCCAAGTTTTGTTTGCGGGGGGTCGAAATTCAGCTCCTGGTCCTACCCACAGGTGATGTCAGCAGGTGGAAGTGTGGTGGCAGAGTGCCGCCTCACACTGGGCCCTCATCAAGTCAGTACCAATACCACCATCAGGGTGAAACTCACTGCTGCTTCCTACCTCCACAACCTCCACACTGCTTCTGCTGCTGCTGCTGGAGGTCAGTTACACAGTGGTAACACACACAGTGTGCTGCTACACTGTTGTATATGACAGTTACACAGTGGTAACACACACAGTGTGCTGCTACACTGTTGTATATGACAGTTACATAGTGGTAACACACACAGTGTGCTGCTACACTGTTGTATATGACAGTTACATAGTGGTAACACACACAGTGTGCTGCTACACTGTTGTATATGACAGTTACATAGTGGTAACACACACAGTGTGCTGCTAAACTGTTGTATATGACAGTTACACAGTGGTAACACACAGTGTGCTGCTACACTGTTTTATATGATAGTTACACAGTGGTAACACACACAGTGTGGTGCTACACTGTTTTATATGATAGTTACACAGTGGTAACACACACAGTGTGGTGATACACTGTCTTATATGATAGTTACACAGTGGTAACACACACAGTGTGGTGCTACACTGTTTTATATGGTAGTTACACAGTGGTAACACACACAGTGTGGTGATACACTGTTCTATATGGTAGTTACAGAGTAGTAACACCTACAGTGTGCTGCTACACTGTTCTATATGATAATTACTCAGTGGTAACAAAAGCTAGCTATGTTTCCCTGTTATATTCCATTACACAGGATAGTGCTCATAGTGTTGAAATGTGTAAGCATGATCTGTGAGACTTCAGTAGTGTCAGCCTGAGCTGGGAGACTGGGGATAGTGAGGCTGACACAAGCGGTGTGGTGGAGGCTGACACGGGAGGGGTGGAGGTGTCAGACACAGCTGACGCCACAAGGGTGCCTGACATATTCAAGTAACCAACTCAATTGCTATTCAATATTGGTGATCAACACTGTCCTTGCCAGGCCTTTCCCAGACCTGCCAAACTTTCCCCAGACGTTCCCCGGACTTTCCCCAGACCTACCAGACTTTCCCCAGACCTACCAAACTTTCCCCAGACCTACCAGACTTTCCCCAGACCTACCAGACTTTCCCCAGACCTGTTAGACCTGCCTGATCCACCGTCAAACCTGCCAGACTTGTCTCTCCATCCCCCTCTGCCAGAATGTGGAAGGTTCACTATCTAGGGATTAACAGAAAGAGTATATAGTTCCTTTGTATAAGGGAGAAGAAGATAAAAGATAATGTTAGAATTATAGAGAAATAAGTCTGTTGAGTATGCCAAATAAGGTGTATGGCAGTGTTATTACTGAAAGAATTAAGAGTAAGACAGAGAGCAGGTTCACAGAGTAACGAGGTTCTAGGAAGGAAGGGGATGTGTTACCCGTGTTCACAATAAAGTATATAAGTGAGCAATATTTAGATTAAGGTGTGGAACTTTCTCTTGTATTTATGGATTTAGAAAAGGCATGTGATAAGGTGGATAAGGAAACAATGTGGCAGATGTTGCAAGTGTGAGGAATAAGTTGTAGGCTACTGAAAGCAGTTAATAGTTTTTATACGGATAGAGAGGTATGCAGAATAAAGGAAGATTATTTTCTGTTACCATAGTTGTTTAACGTAATTATAGATGACGGTGTACAAGCAGTGAGTACTACGGTCTTGGGGAGATGTATGTATTTAAGAGATAAAGAAACTAATACAAAATGGGAGTTGTGATTATAGGGAATTTTTACTTAGATAAATACAGCATTAAAGACCATTGGTGGTTTTATGAGGATACTCATCTTTAAGTTAACAGCTTACACAGGCACATAATGGGCTCAGAGACCGGCCCACAAGCTTCTGATAACTCAACAAGTTACAGCGGTAATGAACTATTTATATGCTTATATTTGGTTATATTCATAATGAGTTTTTATACACACATGAATTAAGTAACATAAAAATTACAAAAATATTACCATATATTTTAGCAGTGGTAATGTGTTATTTACAGTGGGGAAAGTCAGATTATTTTTCCACAATGGTTGGTAATATACCACCGTCAATACAATATTTTATTTCATGAAAACTTTTCAGAGTTGTCTCTGAATTCGTCAGCTTTATCGCATTTCAGTACATAATGACGCAAGGTGTGACAATACTCCATCTGGCAAAGTTTATATTAAGTTTGGACTACATCTGACGGTGGTAATTTAACCTGCCAAAGATACTTGTAACCCAGCCGGAGCCGGGCAGTAGTGACATCCAAGAGTCGGCTTATTTTGTTAGATGCACTGTAGACATGTGGCTCCTACACTGATAGAACGATGATAGATGGACTGACTCGTCTCAATCTCATCAGTCTCAAATCAGTTAAGTTCAATTGAAGTTCTTTTCGTATTGCTGTTCTCAAAATTCTGACAGCCCAAGATTACAATCAATTCCTTCTTTGAACAAGTAAGACTTTGTTGATTCATCGGTTCTATCACGCATCTGAAAACCAGTGTGAAACAGATTCCACAGAAAGTGTACTCTGACTTCACTGTCCACAATCCTACCTTTGTCTGAAACTGTGCTTAGTTTCAGACAAAGAAGCCGCCAGTAGAAATTTACTAGAGTTTACGACTTAATAATGTCATAGAAAACGGTTAACACCGTATAGGAGAGTGGGAAGAATATCCCCAATTATCAATTAAAATTTTTATGTTCGTCAAAACTAGAAGAGGAAAAAAAAGAAAATACCTTATTCGGATTATCGATCCAAGACAGTTAATAACTCAGGATAATTTATGATAACCAAGAAGGTTAATAAAACAAGTTCCAACAACACAAAAGAGAGAAAAACTAATGTGAAGGACCTGGGAGTGGTAATGTCAGAGAATCTCACTTTTAAAGATCACAACAATGTATCTACCACATCTGCCAGGAAAAAGATTGGCTGGATAATGAGAACATTCAAAACTAGGGATGCCAAGCCATTGATGATTCTCTTCAAATTACTTCTCTCTAGGCTGGAATATTGCTGTACACTAACGACCCCTTTCAATGCAGGCGAAATTGCAGACCTGGAGAATGTACAGCAAACTTGCACGGCACGTATAAGTATGATAAGGCACCTAAATTACTGTACTCCCTGGAATTCATGTGAGAAAGATGCATGATAATATACACTTGAAAACCCTAGAGGGACGAATCCCATATCTGCTCACGGAAATCACTCCCTAGGAAAGAAAAAAAGACTCGGCAGGAGGTGCCATGAGTAGCTAAGAGACAAGACAGTGTCAGGGGCCCAAGACTGTTCAATTGCCTCCCAGCATACATTAGGAGGATTGATTACCAATTGACCCCTTCAAGTGGGAGTTGGACAGGCACCTAAAGTCAGTACCTGACCAGTCAGGCTGTGGTTCGTACGTTAGTTTACGTGTGGCCAGCAGTAACAGCCTGGTTGATCAGGTGCTAATCAACTACAAGGCCTGGTCTTGAACCAGGCCACGGGGGCGTTGACCCCGTAACACCCTCCAGGTATATTTATCTCGTATTCAATGTGATAGCTTTGTATTCTTTCTCTAGTTTCCTTCATTAAATATTCTTTCTCCAGCTTCCTTCATTAAATATTCTTTCTCTAGCTTCCTTCATTAAGTTTCCTTTCACTAGCTTCCATCATTATATATTCTTCAGTTCTGTTCTCAGATGGCTCTATACCAAGGCAGGACGAGCCACGAACTTGACCTTAGATGTGTATTACGTGACTGACCTCCGTTCTTCAGTTATTCCTCCTGAGGAAACACCCTACTCTAACACACCTTGATAATACACTACAGTTCTTAAGCTAGATAGAAATAGATGGCACTTCTCATCAGACAGCCTTGTTGTCTACTTCTGTCATCTGCTGTCTGCCTTTTCCGTTCATCCCAGGTCATCCTAGTTCATGAACTTTGTCCACGTCATCCTGGTTCACGAACTTGGTCCACATCATCCCAGGTCACTGACTGTTAACTTGGATGATCAGCCTTAAAAATTATCCTCGGCTTCAACAGTGATAATGTTGTTATTGTTCCCTCAGGATCAGAGAGAGGTGATACTAGTAGTGGGTTTTCTGCTCTACTGATGTCTTCCTCATGGCTTGCAAAGTCTGCTCTCCTGCTGATGTCTGCTACTACCCTGCTGATGTCTACTACCACCCTGTTGACATCTGCTACTGCCCTACTGATGTCTGCTACAGCCCTGCTGACTTCCTCTTCCTGGCTGAGAAGGTCCTCTATCATGTTGACTCAGGATAACCCATGATAATTAACCCTGGAGGGTTAGTAACCCTAGATAACCCAATATTATTAACTTTGGAGAATTAGTAACCTAGGATAACCTAAGATAACCCAGGGTTCGTAACCCAGGATAAAACAAGATTACTAACCTTGGAGGGTTAGTAACCCACATTAATCCAAGATTAATAACCCCAGATGGTTATTAACCCATGATAACCCAAGAATGAGGCTTATTTCCATTGTAGTCTTCAGGTCCTTTCTCAGGATGCCACTCACAGCAGTTAACTAAGACCCAGGTACCTACTTACTGCTAGGTGAACAGGGGCAGCAGGTGTCAAGTAAATAATACCCAGGTACCTACTTACTGCTAGGTGAACAGGGGCAGGTGTCAGGTAAATAACACCCAGGTACCTACTTACTGCTAGGTGAATAGGGGCAGCAGGTGTCAGGAAACATGCCCAATGTCTCCCTCCCTTGTGTATATACATAATGTATATAGGTGTGGTTGTGTGTAAACCAAGTACATATAGTGTGTATATTCATCAGTGTTCAACAATGTCTGGAAGATGAATTAATATTTGTAGAATTAATAATACTAAAATGATGAAATTTGTGTGATTTTATTCATCCTCTTTATCATTATTATTATTTTTATTATTATCCTGGTTAAGCACTGAACTGGTCATGGTTACAGTAGTGGTCAGTAAGGATGGTCCAGGATAACTAAACAAACAAAAGATAACATACCCAAGATATCTACACATACACACAAAAGATAATAGCATACCCAGGATAACTACACATATAGAATAATTATTTCAGTACTTCTTGTCTGTTTTCCTTCTCATATATGAAGGTATTATTATTATTATAATCAAAGGGGGATCCCTAAACCCATAGGAATTATACAGCACCTTGGGGGGGATGGAAGGTATTCAGGCTCAATTCAGGAAACTAGAGCACAGATCCAATTCCCTAGATCAAGAGCCCCTCACCAGCATCAAGGAACTTCCCTTGAGGGGTATATGAAGGTAACATGTGCAATTTTGTAGGTGTTCAGCAGTTGTTTTCCCCTCAGGTTCTGTTATATCCTCACAGAGAGGTCGCACAGCTCCTGGTCTTCCTCTCACATTTTATATCATATTAATATGCAAGATATTCTCCATGGGGAAGTGGAACAGAATTCTTCCTCCATAAGCCATGCGTGTCGTAAGAGGTGACTAAAATGCCGGGAGCAAGGGGCTAGTAACCCCTTCTCCTGTATATATTACTAAATTTAAAAGGAGAAACTTTCGTTTTTCCTTTTGGGCCACCCCACCTCAGTGGGATACGGCTGGTGCATTGAAAGAAGATGTAAGATATTATGTGGAGTTTATGGCACTTATTGAGAAACATTAGTGATGGGAAGTGCTAAACCCATAGGGGTCATACAATGCCTGGGAGTATGGGAGACATTCAGACTTGATTCAGTTTAGAGAGGAAACATTTGGTCCAGCAGTGGGTGATGAAGTTGCCAGTGGATGAAACATCTTAATAATTTTAATAACCTACATGCTAAACCTTATTCATGTTCCTTTCACACTCATTATTACCATCATGGGGGCAGAGAGTTAAACCCATAATGGTCTTACATTTGGAAATGGGAGGCAATCAGGCTCAATCTAAATAAGAGTGTACCTGCAATTCCTTTGTTGTCTTCAAGGAATCTTCCTTGAGGTGACCTAAGATGATATCCTGGCTGATCCCACTGCTTTCACATTTTTGTTTATTCATGGGGAAGCACCTAACACATACAGTCATAGTGCTTGGGGAATGGGAAGTAATAAGGTTTCATCCAAGGAAGGGGAGATTAGCTCCACTTCCCTGGGTCTCCTCGAAGTGTAATACCCACACAAGTGTCTTTTAAAAAAGACTATATACAAAAATTAATCAAGAGGTAAAGCTACATTAAAAGTTCTCATTTTTTACTATTTCCTATAGGATCATCACAGTGCATAGGTGAACCCCAGTGTTCTATGTACTGGTGAACCCCAAGTGTTCCACATCACTGTTCACAATACCTGACATTTTCAAAAGTCCTCATGCCAGAATATTTATCATTCTCATATATGTCCTGAGGTAAAACTAAACCAGAGGGAATACTTTATGATATTTTTTTATTAATCTAGTGAATTTAGATTGCATTTGCAAGGTTCAAAGTTCACTTCAAAACTACCACTGCAGTCCACCAGTGATAGTAACTAAGTTAACTTTCCCCAAAGAACTGTACACTTACAAGCACAAACAGAAATTTCCAAGTTACTTTTCATGAATTCAAATAACACACTGTCAATGATAGTGAAGAAAAGGCCCACATTACAGGGCAAGCTTTTACTGGAGCAATTTTTCACTGTGTATAGCTTGATAAAGCTCTAAACACAGCAAAATGTTGTCTCATTTAAATCTTGCTCTGCATAGTCTGCATTTTTATTCATTAAATTAAATGTTCTGCAATGAGTGTCTTTTTATCCATTTTCACTGTATTGAGACTAGACATGACAGATTTCTGCATGTCATCGTAGAGGTGTGGGAGAGATGGCAGCAGGTGAGATTCCATGTTCAGCTTTATGGTCAATCAGCAGCCTAAGAAGTGCTAACAATGGTCCAAGTTGCCCACCCATCTTAGCACTGACTGGAGCAAGAGGAAGATCAATATGCATGGCCAACTCCTTCAAATTCTCCTGTAGACAAAAATAAAATTATTATTCATAAAGAAGCAGTGAGCCCATTGGAGTCAAACAGTATGGGGAATGAGAGGTAATCAGGTTAAATCCAAGGAAGAGGAGGGTAGCTCTTATGTCTTGCATCAAGAGCCTTTGACCAGCATCAAGGGACCACTTCTTGAAGGGAGAGAAAATTATAATTCAAGTCATCAAATGTCCTTAGAAAGTACATTAAACTTTATGTGCACAACTTAGCAGGTTAATGTGTTGTGTCTGACAACACTCATATTTTCAAGTTACAAATGACAGTCTTTCACAAAAAGCACAGCAGCAAAACCACAAAACTGTTCACTGCTCATTTGTTTGTGATTGTCTGCATCAGCAAGTACTGTACATATATTCAAACAATAATCTGAAGATTAAAGTTGCTAAATTTATTATAACCTTTATTTCACTGTTGATATTCTACATACAGAAGAAGGTCCCACATTATTATTATATTCCTGGGGAAGCACTAAACCCATAGGGGTCATACAGCACCTGAAGAATGGGTTTCAGCCATGAATCAAGAGTCCTTCATCAGCATAAATGCACTCTAGATAGGCACAAATTTGCAAGAGCAAGCCATGAATCATGTGCTCCTACACACTGTATGCCTGACATCTTTAACACACTACCTGTAGATGACACTAACAGCAGATGCTGCTGCTGCTGATGATGATAATGATAATGATAATGAGCTACAAAAACACAGATAGGAAGAGGGGATTAAGCAGCAATAACAGGTGTTCAGGGGATAGAACAGAAATAACAGGTAATCAGGGAATAAAGCAGAAATAACAGGTATTCAGGGAATAAAGCAGAAATAACAAGTCTTCATGACATAAATCCTAAATACTGTACACACACTATATTTAACTGAATCTATTAAAAAATAAGAGGAGAGTATGCCATACCTTGGCCTCGGGCAAATCCATCTTGTTGGCCACTACTGCATGGGGCCTCTTTGACAGCCCTCTTTGATACTGCTCCAGTTCGTGCCTGAAAAAAAAGCATATTTATAATCTTCTCTTTATCAATTTGTGGATAGACAACCATATCACTTGGCATGTGCCCTGTCTATCCCATACTCTAATGAAGTTTCAAAATAATCACTTCCTTGATATGTACATACTTAATACTTATTCATTATCTATGGCAATAAAAAGGGTAACGTATTTAAATATACATAGAGTGGTAGCAATGCACTTATAGAGGTGAGAAGTATGGGCATTTAAATGTTGCAGCAAGGAGCAGGCTGGAGGCAATAGTGACGTCATGTCTGAGGGTAATGCGCAGTGTGAATATTATGCAGAGAATTTGTAGTTTGGAGATTAGGAGATGCAGAGATGAGGGGATGCTAAGAGAATTATTCAGAGGGCTGAGGAGAGGTTACTGAGGTAGTTTGGACATTTAGAGAGGATGGAACAAAATAGGATGACCTGGAGGGTGTATAAGTCTGTAGCAGAGAAAAGGAGGGGTAGGAGTTGTCTGAGGAAAGGTAGGAGGTAAAGGATGTTTTGATGTTAGTGGGTTGGACATCTAACAGGCATGTGTGATCATCTTAGGAATGAAGGCAAGTGGTTTTTATGGCTTGATGTGCTGTTAGTGTGAGCTAGGTAATATTTATGAAGGGATTCAAGGAAACTGGTTAGATTGACCTCAGTCCTGGAAATGAGAAGTACATTGCCTGCTCTCAGAACTGAAGGAGGGGTAGGGATACTGCAGTTTGGAAGAGCATCTAAGCTGTGATGTTGCACCTCTGGCAAGATGGTAACGGCATGTGTGGTGGTGAAAATGTTACTTCTTTTATGAGTTACCTTACCTCGGTGGAAGACAGCCAGTGTGTTAAAAAAAAAGTACCATATTTCGTGGCTTATAAGACTTGTTTTAGTTTCAATGGCTCAGCATCGGACGTAACTGGAAAAGCTGCAGCCCACCCCACACCCCAAATTTATAGCTCCTGTCAGTGACCTTCAGTTTAGAGGATGCAGGCTGCTTTTTGGAGATATTTTATGGAAAAAAAAATGCGTCTAATAAGCTGCAAAATGCAGTACATGTTTTTATATTATTTATGTTCTGGGGATTATCAGATCAGATTTATGTGAAAGAAAACAATGTGTGGTATAACAATTAAAACAAGGATTATTTTGATTACTTGATTTCTGGAGGTTGGAAGTACAATGTCTTCATTCTTTTGGATTAGAGGTGATGCTGCAGTTAGGAGGTCATTTGACAAATACTTAAAGAACATTAGTGAGCAAGTTCCTTCTTTGGGTCACTCTACCTTGGGAAACAACCAATGTGGTAAAAAATGAAACAAACACAATCAGTTTTTAAGTTGAGCACTTAGGCAGGGAGAATATGAACCAGACCAGAGTACATCTCAAGAGCAGTAACATATAAACAAGTACAAGTAAGTGACTCACATAAGAACATGCAGCTGGTCCCAGGGTCTTGGCTGCGAAGTATCAAGTACATAAAGAAGGCAACTGCACCTCTCAATATGTCGTAAAAATGTTATTCCTAAGCCACGGTTCTTGTGAGCGCCTTCAATCAGTCCCGGAATGTCTGCAACTACAGAAATCAGAAATATATTAATAGAATGACAGAGTGGATAGGGAAGCAATGTGGCAGATGTTGCAAGTATATGGAATAGGTAGTAAGTTACTAAACGCTGTAAAGAGTTTCTATGAGGATAGTGAAGCTCAAGTTAGGGTGTGTAGAAGAGAGGGAGACTACTTTCCGGTAAAGGTGGGTCTTAGACAGGGATGTGTAATGTCACCATGGTTGTCTAATATATTTATAGATGGGGTTGTAAAAGAAGTAAATGCTAGGGTGTTCGGGAGAGGGGTGGGATTAAATTAGGGGGAATCAAATACAAAATGGGAATTGACACAGTTACTTTTTGCTGATGATACTGTGCTTATGGGAGATTCTAAAGAAAAGTTGCAAAGGTTAGTAGACGAGTTTGGGAATGTGTGTAAAGGTAGAAAGTTGAAAGTGAACATAAAAAAGAGTAAGGTGATGAGGGTATCAAATGATTTGGATAAAGAAAAATTGGATATCAAATTGGAGAGGAGGAGTATGGAAGAAGTGAATGTTTTCAGATACTTGGGAGTTGACGTGTCAGCGGATGGATTTATGAAGGATGAGGTTAACCATAGAACTGATGAAGGAAAAAAGGTGAGTGGTGCATTGAGGTATATGTGGAGACAAAAAACATTGTCTATGGAGGCAAATAAGGGAATGTATGAAAGCATAGTGGTACCATAACTCTTATATGGGTGTGAAGCTTGGGTTGTAAATGCTGCAGCAAGGAGGTGGTTGGAGGTGGTGGAGATGTCCTATCTAAGGGCAATGTGTGGTGTAAATATTATGCAGAGAATTCAGAGTGTGGAAAGTAGGAAAAGGTGTGGAGTTATTAAAAGTACTAGTCAGAGGGCTGAAGAGGGGTTGTTGAGGTGGATTGGTCATTTAGAGAGAATGGATGAAAGTAGAATGACATGGAGAGTGTATAAATCTGTAGGGGAAATCTGAAGGCCACCAGGCCCGGTGGCTAAAGCTCCCGCTTCACACACGGAAGGCCCAGGTTCGATTCCCGGCGGGCGGAAACATTTCAACATCTTTCCTTACACCTGTTGTCCTGTTCACCTAGCAGCAAATAGGTACCTGGGTGTTAGTCGACTGGTGTGGGTCGCATCTTGAGGGACAAGATCAAGAACCGCAATGGAAATAAGTTAGACAGTCCTCGATGATGCACTGACTTTGTTGGGTTATATTGGGTGGCTAACCCTCTGGGATTAAAAATCCAAAGAAAATCTTAGGTAGGGGTCGTCCTTGAAAAGGTTGGAGGGAGGGGGTAATGGAGGTTTTGTGGGCGAGGGGCTTGGACTTCCAGCAAGCATGCGTGAGCATGTTAGATAGGAGTGAATGGAGACGAATGGTATTTGGGACCTGACGAGCTGTTGGAGTGTGAGCAGGGTAATATTTAGTGAAGGGATTCAGGGAAACCGGTTATTTTTATATAGCCGGACTTGAGTAGTGGAAATGGGAAGAACAATGTCTGCACTTTAAAGGAGGGGTTTGGGATATTGGCAGTTTGGAGGGATATGTTGTGTATCTTTATACTTATATGCTTCTAAACTGTTGTGTTCTGGGCACCTCTGCAAAAACAGTGATCATGTATGAGTGAGGTGAAAGCGTTGAATGATGATGAAAGTATTTTCTTTTTGGGGATTTTCTTTCTTTTTGGGTCACCCTGCCTCAGTGGGAGATGGCCAACTTGTTAAAAAAAAAAAAAATTAATAGAATGACATACATTCATGTAGAAGCACTAAACCTAATAGAAAAACTAAGCCATACTGTGACAACTTAATAATTACTGTTCAATAATTTATAATATTTTATTACCAGTTAATAAAACAAGAAATAATCACAGAAGATTTTCCAAAATGGGCGAAATTTCAATTAACTTTCTACCAATCACAGATCCTACAAAGTACCAAATTATGCCAAATTTGACTATAACCATCTCACATCATTAGGCAAAATTGAAGCCAGTAACATACAGATAAAGTTCACTCTAAACTATGCAGTTTCAGTGAAGGTTAATGCATTACCTGCCAGCTGGTGGTGGTCAGCATAGTGTACCATGCCAACATGAGGGTTTAGCGTGGTGAAGGGATAAGATGCCACTTTTGGCCGAGCTCTGGAAATTGCACGTAACAAGGTAGATTTTCCAGCATTGGGAAATCCTATCTGTAAGACAGTAAACACACTAACAAAATCATTATTGTAATAATTTAAAACAAGTTGAAGCTAGGTATAAGTTAAACCAAACAGGATCTTTTATTCTTGAAACTGTACTTTCTGTGAAAATTGTGTATATCCATTATATTAAAAGTTCAATTTCTTTACATGTATTATTGTGAATTCCTTTTCCAAATACAGTGGACCCCCGGTTTACGATCAGCTCCCAATGTGACCAATTATGTAAGTGTATTTATGTAAGTGCGTTTGTATGTGTATGTTTGGGGGTCTGAAATGGACTAATCTAATTCACAATATTCCTTATGGGAACAAATTCGGTCAGTACTGGCACCTGAACATACTTCTGGAATGAAATAATATCGTAAACCGGGGGTCCACTGTACATACATTGGATCAAGAACACAAAAGTACATATATCCTGTAAAGGAAATATGAATAAGCTCCATACAAAAATGGCTTTCTAAAATGTCACCATTTACAGTTACTTATGATCTTAGCCTATACAAGTTACTAACCCTAATACAGTAAGCAATTTTAATTAAGTTAATGTTCTCACCAGTCCAACATCTGCCATTGTTCGTAGTTCAACTTCATACTCGATAACCTCTCCTTTTCCACCAAATTCAGCAATAAGTGGGGCTTGATCCCTGAAATAAAAATGTGGCATTAAACAAAAGACTTAATGAGGAAAAGCAAACATGTTAAATGCATGCACCAACATTTTTTTAAGATTTCTTAATGTCTTTTTTTCAATGAACCAGTCGTATCCTACCGAGGCAGGATGACCTAAAAAGAAAAACGAAAGTTCTTCATTTTAAATTTAGTAATTTATATAGGAGAAGGGGTTACTAGCTCCTTGCTCCTGGAATTTTAGCCACCTCTTATTACATGCATGGCTTACAGAGGAAGGATTCTGTTCCACTTTCCCATGGAGAAAGATTTCTTAATAAATCACAAAAAAAGGATGAGACAGAAAACCAGAGACCAGCATGTGGAGCTTCAGTTTCACAGCACAAGTATATACAAGTGCAGTTTCATGCAAGAACAAGGTTTTCAAGATATTATTTGTTGTGCTACTCATGCAACTCCATCAATATTTGGTCCCTTACCACTAAAGTATGACCTACTTACTCCCCAACACATCAAGTGATTATTCGTCAATAGACAGACTGTCTGTCTCACACCTGGTGAATGGAGGACTGAGCCTCCACTGCCACTACTTGCATTGAATGATTCACATAGATTTAGTGCCTCAAATAATAATAATAATGATGATGATGATGATAATGATAATAATAATAATAATAATAATAATAATAATAATAATAATAATAATAATAATGTATATCCATTCTTACACTTGCACAATTCTGTACACTTGTCAATGCAGAGTGTGTAATGGACGTTTTACACATGTCAGTCAATATATTGTGGTTTTGTTATTTATCAAGGTAGCAAGATGTACCATTAAAAGTAGGAAAATGAAATTCTGATTAACATGGAATCTTGATACATCGTTCAGGTGGCTATAATGGAAGATATGCTGCCATAAATCACTGTCAATCTAATTGCCACAGGACCCTAACTTATATCTACTATAATTTTAATGCCTATTGCTGGTTTATTTAATAGCTAGACCACCTTCGAGTTTTTCTGCTCCTGGAGCCCACCCTGGGTTCAGGCTTTCCATAAATTCTGTATTAGAGCTTTCAGTTGTCATACAAAGCATAAGACAAAAATGAGGTCCATTGTTCTTACACATCGGTGGCAAAAAAAGCATTGCCCTTGCCTCCAGCTCCACCTCGAGCAGCGATGAAGAGACATTCATTCTCCTCCAGACTTGCAACAACCTCACCTCCTGTCTTAAATATTGTCCCAATGGGTACCTGCAATTGCACAATGCATATGAGAAATGCAATGTTAACATATTTTGAAAAGATATTCATTATTTGTTGATTCCTTTAGCCTAATTTAAACTTCAATGCAAATTCTATTACTCCTCCCAGTCATTCTACTACACACTGTCAATGTCACAGACTACATTATTTCTTTATTTTCAAGTTTTACTGAAGAGACCAAAACCAAGGCTTTGTGGGGGTCCTAAACTCTGACTCTGCTATGGGGACCTAATGCATGATTGCAAGGGGACCTAATCGTTAAATTTTATGGGGGTATCTAAACCATGACTCTGCTGAGGGAGGTAAGAGATCTAATTGCAGACTATACTGAGGGTACCTATTCCAGGACTTTGTGGGAAAGATCTAATCCATGACTTTGCTGGGGAAAGTTAAGTGTTATAATGCATCTCTCCTTTTCAGTGTATCTGGGGGAAGCCAGTAAATCCTACAAGTGATCCTAGTCACCCATCCAGTTACCAACCACACCCATACCCTTAATCCAACTAACCAAGCAACAGGTATCTTGCAGAATGCCTTGACAATGGCTATGAAATTACCTAGTATCACACTATAAACAAGTACAAGAACATGAATCCACTATCTCAGAACTATAATAATTACTGCCACAGGTTCTTCATAAAAATAAAAAAAAAGTAGATGATGTGTGAACAATATATGCACTCAACTTAATGATTTTTTTTAAAGAAATCTAGCTGATTTGAAGACCTGTTTTCAATGTGTGTTAGGAAGATATTATAAAGTCTCTGTGCTGCTATGTACTGGTATCTCTACATATTAACATTGTTGCTTCAATATATTGTACTGAGCTTTGTTAATGTTAATAATCATTACACCTCAGTTAACCTCAACTATTCAAAATCCTTCAGTTTTTAAGTTACTGTAATTGACACCTAACACTGAAAATTGTGCCTGATAATAATGTATTTGATTGAAATTTAACTCAATTAAGTTAATTTCTCTTCAGCAGACTATACAGACTATGTTTCTTCCTAAGTTTGTTGGATGTCCTCTCATTGACAAGCATCAATAATATTTTCATGTTCTATTAATCTTGTCTCAGTTGTAGCTTGCCTGAATACTCTATATAACCCAGAGCTTCCCTTGTCAACTGTACTATTAAATGTCATTTAAATTTATAAAATTATGTACCTAATGAAAATTATTTTTTTTATTAACACATCGGCCGATACCCACCAAGGCAGGGTGGCCCAAAAAAGAAAAACTTTCATCATCATTCACTCCATCACTGTCTTGCCAGAGGGGTGCTTTACACTACAGTTATAAAACTGCAACATTAACACCCTTCCTTATGAAAATAAAATACAGTGGACCCTCGAGTTACGAACTTTTTTCGTTCCAGACGGCTGGTCAAGTGCTGTTACTGAACGAATTTCCTCTCATCAGGAATAATGTAAAATAGATTAATCTGTATCAGACCCCCGAAAATACACTTACAAAAGCACTTACAAAAATACACTTACATAATTTGTCATGCTGGGAGTGGTTCTTAACTTGAGGGTCCACTGTATATTATTATCCCTGAATATTCAAGAGAAATGACTAAACTCAGAAGGATCAAACAATGCTGGGTGGAATGGGAGATAATCAGGCTACAATTCTTTGGATCAAGAGCCCTTCACTAGTATCAAGGCACCCGACATGAAAAGAAATGTGTAACCTTTCTATTTCCATAATACACATCACACAAGAGAAACTGCATTGTCCCACTAACCTGGATAGTTTTATTTTCAGCATTTTTGCCGTGGCAATCCTTGTTTCGTCCTGGCTCTCCAGGTTGCCCTCGAATGAATGACTCTAAATGGTTTAGGCTCCTGATCTTATTTGAAGCCTACAATGACCAAAACATGTTCTTCATTAGTCAGGCATCCTGAGTCATTTATGAGAGAGAGAGAGGATGGAAGTGAAAAACATGTTAAAGGCTCAAATTATTGTAATTTAGTACGTACGTGTTGTGATGAAGTCTGTGCTACACACGGGGATGGACTCTTATAAATATTACATACAATGATGCTTCCTGAGTACAGGTATGCTTCATTAACCCCTTCACTGTCAGAAACCCCAAAATGAGAAGAGCTCACAGTGCTACCTGGAGTTTACCTGGAGAGAGTTCCGGGGGTCAACGCCCCCGCAGCCCAGTCTGTGACCAGGCCTCCTAGCATTTAAAAAAAAAATTCTTCTGAAATGGCAGAGGATAGGACCTTAAAGTGGAGCACCTAGGCATGCACTTGCAAAAAAAGCAGTGCCAGCGTTGACCTCAAGGCACAAATGGGATGCAAACATTAAAGTGGAAAAAGACCTCAGAAACCAATTAAGGCTTTACAGTCACCAAGCCTAATTACATATGAATAAGAAATACAGTGGAACCCCGAGTTTCGGCCATAATTCGTTCCAGAAGGCTGTTCAAATGCCGTTACTGAACGAATTTGTTCCCATAAGGAATAATGCAAATTAGATTAGTCCGTTTCAGACCCCCAAAAATGCACTCACAATAATACACTTACACAACAGTTCGAATTGAGAGGTGGCCGAAACTCGGGGTAGCACTGTATAACAAACTGTGGTACTATTGTTTTTTGTACAAACAACTCATTTGTAAATTAAAATGCTGGTAAACTACGCAAGAGACATATATATCTATATACATATATAGTACTGTAACCACGAACGAGTATAACACCTAGCTCTGCTGGGTGAGTGATTCTTGTAGGACTGCGTGGTCCAGTATGCTAGAGCATTGTGAATTTTCACTCACCATGAGGCAGGCTGAAACAACATGGGTTTGATCCCCCGGCAACTCACAGTGTTGTTATTGATTAAATACCACTTGTTTGTGGTTGCAATATGGACATGTATACTGCTTGTGGAGGCTAGCACACCGTAGAGCTGTTGGAATGTGAGCAAGATAACATTTATGAAAGGCTTCAGTGAAACCAGTTAGCCGGACTCAGGTCCTAGAGGTGAAAGTACTGAGTTTGTACTCTGAAAAAAAAGGCAAGGATGTTGCAGTCTGGAGGGTCATCTGTCCAGTGATGACTGTATACTTCTGCCAAGACAGTGACTGAATGAATAAGGGTAAATGAGTTTCCTCTTTTCTGGGCCACTCAACTCAGTGGAAGACATCTGGTGTGTTAAAAACTGATAATAATAATAGGGAGCAAGGGAAGAGGACAGGGTAAAGGCTGGTCTTTCAATGAAGATACTTCCAACAGAAATTTACTTGAATGTAAAACATAATTGTCAAAGAAAATGGATAGAAGAGTGGGAAGGGCAAATTCTCAACAGGTAGACAAAGGGTCAAACACTTGAATGACTTCAAAACAAACCTCAAAGATAACATGGGCACCATTACCACCATCTGCACCATCAGGTCCAGCTTTCTCTTTCTGGTAGGTGCTCAAGAGAGAGATGCAGCCATTACCGCCATCTCCAGCACATGTCTTCACTCTCCGATAATCAACAAAGTGACGGGCCTAGAAATGAGATAATTCCTTCAGTGACATTGCCTACAAAAATGGGAGGCCTAGGGAGGATTACTATTATATTCATGTAGAAAAATTAAACCCACAGGAGTTGTACAACACCTGGGGAATAGAAGGTAATAAGGCTTAACAGGGAGGAACTTACATTTGGTGAACCAAGGGAGAAAGGAATACCTCAGTGGATTACACAATGGAGAGCCTAGGGAGGGAGGAATACCTTGGTGGGCTACAAGGTTGGCCTAAAGAGGGAGAAATACAGTACGTGTACTAATTTTCCAACTCGTATTACAATAGCAAGTTTTTATGTGTGTGTACGAACATACGTATGTACGCGTGCACTGATGCACACATGCACACGCGTGCACGCGCACACACACACACACACACACACACACACTACTTAGTAACGTTAACATTTAGATTTCTTTCCTTCACCTTAAAAACTCAAAGAATGAGTTTATTCACAAAAACAGTAAAAAGAGTAGACCCAGAAAAAAAATTAATTTGAAAGGATTGTACTGTGCAGCAACAAGCAACAATGTACACTGCATGACAGGTATGGTAGAATCCAGTGTGGTTACCTGCTTATGATTATTTGCTTGCAGCTAGTGAAGTAGAGCCTCAGTATTTAGTCTATTGTAAAGATTTTCACTACATTCCTAAGAAAATTCTGGTTGTGTACAATGTACATTAAATAAGTGAGGAAGAACTGACCATATTTTAAGCTGTACAACATACTATACATAAACTTATTCTCCATAAACACTGATGTTGTAATTAATACCAAACTATTAGTAGCAAATATATATCAAAAGATTTTAAAATTAGCAGATAACCAACACTTGGGAAGGAGAGCCAATAACAATATTTAAAATATATTGTTCTAACCATTGTTTTATCTGATTTGTTTTTGACTTTTTTGATTGCTGTGTATTTGTCTTCTAGTTCCACATCTGGGTTGTCTTGTAGCCATTTAAGAAACTCCTTTCCTTTCTGGTTCCAACCATCATCCCAATCATAAGATTTTTCCACATTTTCCACACCTCTCCAGGCACTACGTTGTACAGTATCCAGCACCACTACACCACGTTGCCAACCATCAACACCACCAACAGATGCAGCATCATTTGAGCAGTACCTTATTTTCTGCAATACATTTCTCATTTGGTTTTGGAATGCCCAGCTGAGTGGCCTTCCTGAGGAGAGCCTGAAAGCTCCTGCTGCCATCTCTCTCTCTCCTCTATGCAGTGCTGATGATGAAACCTAAATAAAAAGAATGAAGAAAAATCAATATGTCAAAACAGCTGTAAAACTGTAGTTATTGAGCCATCCAGATGTAAAGGTAATCAGTCACAATAAATCTACTAATATGAAATTAAAATTGAGCAGCATATAGATTTATTTTGCACCATTATGTCAAACATGTGAAAAACCAGCAGCCTATTTCACCAGTGCATTTCAGAAGGCAAGATGAGCAAGAATGAGTTAAACTTGAAGTATTGGTTGCTTTGTATAAGACTGTTTTAATGCAAATTTAATATCCTGAGTCACTTGCTGATGAAACGTGACTCTTGATCCAAGGAAACTGACCTCTTGTACCATTCCTCAGATCAAATCTAAATAGCCCCAAACCCTTCAACTTTCCATTTGCCCTCAATAATGATGAAATTTCCCTTTTGAAAACTCTAGCTCGTGTAAGATGGAAAATAAACTATCAGCATCCCCGTTCTAACAATCTCCAGTGGTAGTGCTGCAGTGGTTGCTTCAATTCACTCACTGGACATCAGATTATGTTAGGGAAAGTCAAATGACCCCTCTAGTGAGATACCAGATGGCCATCTCGAAAGGGCCTCTGGTAATGAAAGTATTACCACAGGTTGCCTGTAAATCCAGGAGTGGCAACTGAAGCTGTATGATGCCTAGTGTTCATTCCAGGTCACCCACCTACATTATCAGCTGAAAGACAATTGTACAGTTAGTGCCCTTGTCTGTCTAAACAGGTGGTTTTGCTAAGCCTTGTCTGGTGTTGTACAGCAAGCAGGGTAAAAGCTAGTTTCCAGGGACCAACAGTATTACCTGTCACAATGGAGCTGACCATGGTTCAAGGTGGGTATGTTAATTTTTTGTTTGTTTTCAGATCTGCCTCATTTATTTACTCATGATAAGTGAGACAGTGATTCATTCTCCTGGAGGCCAAGTGACTGCAACACCCTTTACCAACCCCAGCACAGCCATGGACCCTCCTCAGAACTCAGAATAACTTTTAAGCCATCAACTGTTGCTTGAACCCAGTATGGGCATTCTACCTACCCCCTCTGGTGTCTGTGATCCTCACTTCACATTGATCATGGACCTGGCTCCTCCCATATTATTATAATCAAAAGATGCACTAAACTTACAAGGGTCACACAGCAGGCTCCTCCCATAACATGGATGATTCTTCTATCATTAGTGCATTAAAGGACAGATACACCCCTCCAGCCAAGATACTACAGTACGTACTTGTAATTTTTGTTTCTTGCATTTCTAATCTGTACAATCTACTTCTTACCAAACACCAATCTGCTAGATGATTCACCCCCATCATCATTCATGTCAGTGTGCTTCCTTCAGCACTCCTCTCCATTAACTATTTCACCACTGCTGTGTAGTGCTAAGTAACCCTTACAACTTTGGTGCTTTCCTTGAATATAGCACTAATTAGCCTTTTAGTTATTAAACTTTCATTTTTAGAATACATGAGATAATACCTTTTGAAGCATTCTAGTCTACACTTTATTCCTGACACTGATACATCAGAGGTAAACTATTTTCTGCTCTTCTTACAGTCTCCAGTACCATATACAGTACTATACTGATGAAAGTGGCCACTTTTCCTCTCACAAAGAATATAAAGGATGTTGCCTTATCAACACTGACAGTGCTCTCTTTTGTCATGTTAGGGACAACAGTAATCCAAAAAACTGATGCACTTTCTAAATTCTGAATTTTTCAAACCTTCACAGATACAGTACTGACTTCTCAAACTGATCCTAATACACAGCATAAATTTTAGCTTTAGCTTCATTTTTGTAGGCTCTCATTTCTCTCAGTAAGATAAGATAAGATAAGATAAGATTTTGTTCGGATTTTTAACCCCGGAGGGTTAGCCACCCAGGATAACCCAAGAAAGTCAGTGCGTCATCGAGGACTGTCTAACTTATTTCCATTGGGGTCCTTAATCTTGTCCCCCAGGATGCGACCCACACCAGTCGACTAACACCCAGGTACCTATTTGCTGCTAGGTGAACAGGACAACAGGTGTAAGGAAACGTGTCGAAATGTTTCCACCCGCCGGGAATCGAACCCGGGCCCTCCGTGTGTGAAGCGGGAGCTTTAGCCACCAGGCCACCGGGCCACTGTCAAATGTTCTAAAACATAAAAAAAAGGGGGGAGGGATGTACTTGAGTACAATGGTACCAACAGTTATATATGGGTGTGCAGGCTGGATGCAGTGGAGATGTTGTGATGTGATGTGCCAATGTGATAATAATAATGTAGTGTGAATATTTTGCAGAAAATTCAGAGGTAGAAATTAGGTGTGGGGTTACCAAAATATAATCCAGAGGGGTTGAGGAGGGTTTGATGAGATACTATAGTCACTTAAGAGGGGATGGAGCAAAATAGGATGAGTAGGAGGGTATATAAATCTGGGGTGAAGGGAAGGAAGGGGTAGGGATCATTCCAGGAATAGGTTGACAAAAGGAGTGAAGGAAGTTTTGAGTGCTAGGGGAGTGAACATCCAACAGGCATGTGTAAGCTCATTACATCAGAGTGGAGGATTTTTTTTTTTTTTCAGAGTAACTGGTTAGCTGGACTGGAGTCCTGGAGGCAGGAAGGGCAGTGTCTGCACTCTGAAGGAGAGGTGGGGATGTTACAGTTTAGAGAATCATCTGAACTGTGAGATCAGTATACCTCTGACAAGATAGTTATTTAATGATAGTGGATGCTTCCTCTTTCTTGGGAGGGGTCACCCTACCTCGGTGGGGGTCACCCTGCCTCGGTGTGGGGTCACCTTGCCTCGGCGGGGGGTCACCCTGCCTCGGTGGGGGGTCACCCTGCCTCGGTGGGGGTCACCCTGCCTCGGTGGGGTCACCCTGCCTCGGTGGGGGTCACCCTGCCTCGGTGGGGGTCACCCTGCCTCGGTGGGGGTCACCCTGCTCGGTGGGGGGTTACCCTGCCTCGGTGGGGGTCACCCTGCCTCAGTGGGGGTCACCTTGCCTCGGCGAGGGTCACACTGCCTCGGTGGGGGTCACCCTGCCTCGGTGGGGGTCACCTTGCCTCGGTGGGGGTCACCCTGCCTCGGTGGGGGCCACCCTGCCTCGGTGGGGGTCACCCTGCCTCGGTGGGGGTCACCCTGCCTCGGTGGGGGTCACCTTGCCTTGGTGGGGGTCACCCTGCCTCAGTGGGGGGTCACCCTGCCTCAGTGGGGGTCACCTTGCCTCAGTGGGGGTCACCTTGCCTCGGTGGGGGTCACCCTGCCTTGGTGGGGGTCACCCTGCCTCGGTGGGGGTCACCCTGCCTCGGTGAGGGTCACCCTGCCTCGGTGGGGGTCACCCTGCCTCGCTGGGGGTCACCCTGCCCCAGTGGGGGTCACCCTGCCCCAGTGGGGGGGTCACCCTGCCTCGGTGGGGGTCACCCTGCCTCGGTGGGGGTCACCCTGCCTCGGTGGGGGTCACCCTGCCTCGGTGGGGGTCACCCTGCCTCGGTGGGGGTCACCCTGCCTCGGTGGGGGTCACCCTGCCTCGGTGGGGGTCACCCTACCTCAGTGGGGGTCACACTACCTTGGTGGGGGTCACCCTACCTCAGTGGGGGTCACACTACCTTGGTGGGGGTCACCCTACCTCGGTGGGGGTCACACTACCTTGGTGGGGGTCACCCTACCTTGGTGGGGGTCACCCTACCTCAGTGGGGGGTCACCCTACCTCGGTGGGGGTCACACTACCTTGGTGGGGGTCACACTACCTCAGTGGGGGTCACACTACCTCGGTGGGGGTCACCTTACCTCAGTGGGGGTCACATTACCTCGGTGGAGTCACACTACCTCGGTGGGGGTCACCCTACCTCAGTGGGGGTCACACTACCTCGGTGGGGGTCACCCTACCTCAGTGGGGGTCACACTACCTCAGTGGGGTCACACTACCTCAGTGGGGGTCACACTACCTCGGTGGGGGTCGCACTACCTCGGGGGTCACCCTACCTCAGTGGGGGTCACACTACCTTGGTGGGGGGTCACACTACCTCAGTGGGGGTCACACTACCTTGGTGGGGGTCACACTACCTCGGGTGGGGGTCACACTACCTTGGTGGGAGACACCTGGTGTGTTAATTATAATTCAGTAGCACCCACCTTACTTTCTTAAATATTTTGCTAACACTTTCAACCTTTCCTGTCAGGTTTCTCATAGAATTTAAACATAAAAAAACTGTAAGCAGTATTTATTTACCGAATTCACAAATCAAAACATTTTCAACAATAGTCATGGCATGACCAAACGTGTTTCAATAAAATAAAAATTATGAAACAATTTAGTAAAAACTTCAAGCAATAACTTGTTAGGAATTTTATTACTGAAGTACCATACCAACTTGATTAAGGAACTGGATTATTATATTTACAAGGAAGCACTAAGCTCACTGGGATCTTATAACATCTGTACAAGTGAGCACAAATTTAATACAAGGAAAAAGATGAGCTCCAATTTCTTGGATCAAGAAATTTTCACATTCACCTGGAAAGTGAATGTTACATGAATTAAGATAACTATAGAATATTCATTTGAACAAATAATAACAAATCTTTCACTCACTCTTCTCTCTTCAGTCACTCTCACTCACTCTTCTCTCTTCTTTCTTTCACTCACTTTTCTCTCTTCTTTCTCTCTTTCACTCACTTTTCTCTCTTCTTTCTTCTTTAATCTCCTTTCCCTCTCTCTCTCTCTTACATTTAATGGATGTCCTAAACCATTTTGCTATCTAATCTTAACACCAATACATTCTTCAAGCTTTCTTCCAATTTCTGAATGAATAGCCTTTGCTTTCACATCAGAAAGAGCACCACAGACACTTCTATATGTAATCCTATACGTGTAACTCCTCCTCTTAATTTTTGGGTGAACATATGTGCTTAAGAGTTTATAATGTCTTAAAGTATCCCTCGCTACATTTACAATTATCACACCAATAATGGCTTCATCAAAGCCAATGCTTCCAGGAGAACAATCTAAATCCACTAGCACGTTACTATGAGCTGGGTCTGTTGAAGGTGGAGGTTCCCAAAAACTGATGTCATAAGAGTATTCAATAGGGAAGAGACTGCAGGGTGTATACAAAACTACACCATTACACACACACACACACTGACAAACACCCCACAGTTCATTATCATCAACTTCAAAATAGAAATTGGCTGCAGAGGTGATATTTATAACATAAACAGACTTGGTACATAGAGAACTGTTATCATTATCTCCTGCACAGTGCAGAGAAAAAGAGACATGCTTTTCTAAAAAATCCTTCATCACTGCCCTTTTAACTTTAGGCAAAAAAGATTTACTCACATTTCTGATTTCCAGTGACATTTCTTCAGCTAAAATGTTTTCAAATATACTGCTATTCCCAGGGCAGACCAATATGACAAGAGGGTCAACCTTGAAGCCAAGGGTCATGTCAATTTTGTATGCAGAGTGCAAACAAATACTCGTGCTCTTCAGTTTCATACATTGACAAAAATTAAGCAGACTTGCAAAATTTCTTGAATGCACATCATTTCCATATACTATATCACCTCCAAGATGAGTTGTAATAACTGTTGAAACACGTTCTCTTAGTGCATGCGTGAGGTAGCCTATCATGTTTGATTTATTACTAAACACTTTTCTTTTCACTTTATTATAAAGGAAATAAGGAACTTTCAAGTTGCAATCAGCATACACAGAGATCACTTTAGTGGCTCTAGCATCCAAGATGTTTCCTTCATGCAAAATAGTTTGTAACTCGAATGTGTACATAAAAGCACCCTTCTGATCAAAGCCTTTTTCCAAGGACCTATAACCAGTTGCTGAATAACCTGAATACTTCAAAGCATCAAAGGTTTTAAAATCTTTTAGCACAAACTCAGCATATGAAGCCATGAGGACGACCTGCCATGAGTCATCCCACCTTCGAACAATGGGGTCAAGTGGAACACCACCTTGACCTGCACAAAGTGTCACCAAAACCTGACCACATTCCAGAAGGACATGGGCTGCACTTTGAAAAAACTGACGGAGTAACTTGCGATTCAGATCAATTCTCATTTTTCCACCAACATGAGGGAAATTGAAGATAATGTGAGTAAACTTGCGGTCTTTAATATTGAGATTACAATGCAGCTGTGTGGCATCAACTCCCAATATAACTTCCACACCTGAAAATACAGATACTAGATCAAAGTAGAATTAGAAAAATAAGAAGTATGTACTGTACAGAATACTCAATAAACAAATACTTCCACCAGATAGTTTAATCTAAACTTAATAGCAAAGTGGTGCAAGGCTAACTGGAACACAAAATCAAGCCCACAGGAGTCAAAAACTTATAACCAATATTTAGACAAAGTCTAATATGAAGATGGTCAGTATTGGATTAGGTTACCATGGAAATTAAACAAACACTCTGGGTCATTATGCCCTATGCCATATCTTCTATAATTATGTATCCTCTTTTTTCTAAAAATATGTATTACCTATTACCAAATTTCTTTCTATATAAAGTTCAATCAAAAGCTTCCCATATTACCATTTACCTATGGCACCCCAAACTTGCCAACTAAGCCCTCTACAATTGTTTCTCCCACTTGAGCATTCAGGTACCCTACCACAACTACTCTCTCACTTGCTTCTAAAGTTCCTAAACATTCACTTAACATCTCACAAAATCTCTCTCTCTCTCCTCTACATTCCTCTCTTCTCAAAGTGCATAAACACTTAGTATAACCCACTGTTTGCATCTTCTATGTGCAGGTTATTTGTGTAATGATCCTTCAACATTATTGCTACCCCTTCTTTAGCACTCTCAGATACTCCTGACTTAATCCCATTTATTTCTCCCCACTGAAACTCTCCTACCCCCTTCAGCTTTGTTTTAGAGTCAGAACATTCAACTTCTTTACATTCATAACACAAGCAATCATCTCTTTCTTATCATCTGTACTACATCCATGAACATTTGAACATCCCAACTTTGTAGTTTATCTTCTCATTTTTAGCAATTTACACAGCAGAAGGGGTTACTTTCCCCTTGCTCCCAGCATTGTAGTTGCCTCTTATGACACACATGACTTATGGAGGAAGGATTCTTATCCACTTCTCCATGTAATACACTCACACAAGTCTGATGGATTCATGTTAGACTGGAGTGGAGACAACATATCCATTACAATATTATGTATAGTGTATATCCATTATGTATATCCATTACAATATATGTATAGTGTAATACCTGGAGGATGTGCTGGGGGTCAATGCCCCCATGGCCCAATCCATGACCAGGCCTTGTGGTGGATCAGGGCAAGATTTTTTCTTTTAATCAGAGGGAAGCACTAAACCCCTAGAGGCCATATAACTTTTGAGAAATAAAGAGAAATTCAGGTGTGATCCAAGAAATGGGAGGATAAATCCAGTTCCTTGAAACAAAAGCCCTTCACCAGCATCAAGGGTACAATAATATGAAGCTCTAAGCCCATACGAGTCATTAGCACAAGAGTGGTGGAGACTTGAAACTCTGCTCACTAAGGTCAAGACCGAAAGAGACAGCCAATATAGACTGTAAGACACTAACCTCTGTCAGTTAGAATATCAGTATTTTTTCTGGCTCTTTCAGTCAGCTTCTCTTGAAGACAAGTGGCAACAATGTGTACTCCAGTAAACCAGTTTTCCTGAATCAGAGCAGCAACAAATGAGAAGTCTCCTTCACCCACAAACAACAGCTGTGATCCCTCCGAAAATTGCATAACTAGTTCTGGAAAGCCAAAGTTAAATCAATTTTTTGATCAAAATTTCTTTTTCTGCATTCCAGAATATGAATGCACTCTCATGAGGAAACAGACAAAACTGGAATGTATAACTTAAGAAAAAAGTGCCACATTATAGACCGTTCATTACATGCTTTTGCCACAATTTACCTTCACCTGAAATAGCATACCATTAAGTGCATAGTAAGGTAAAAGAAATAAGCCTGTTACAAGTAGACTCTTATCATTATATTTAGGGGGAAGCACTAAACCTGTAAGGATCAATGTTTAAAGTGAAGTGCTTGTGCTACCTACCAGTTGGTTATTGGACTGATACAGGAGGAAGTGCAAAATAAATCTAGTGAAATTTAGGGGGTCATAAGGACAATAAAAGAAGTGTGAACATGTGGGGATCAAGACTCTTCAACACTCTACAAGCAAATATTAGAAATATTACCAGAATGAATACTATAAGTAAGTTTATTCAGGTACAGGTACACATATTTACAATTATCATTGTGTAAATTACCAAGGAAAATTCTAAAAGTCAGACAAAGTGACTTATTTCCATTTGGGTCCTTGTAATATCTTATTATTCAAACCTTAATAATCAAGGGAAAAGCGCTAAACCCATAGGATTATACAGTGCCTGTGGGGGGATGTGAAAGGTATTCAGGCTTAATTGAGGGAACTGGAATACAGATCCAATTCCCTAGATCTAGAGCCCCCTCACCAGTGTCAAGGAACCTTCCTTGAGGGGCTTAAAAGTTAAAACAACTAAGTAACTCAAATGTGTGGAAATCAAGAAATTAGATCAGTACCTCTGTAAAGTGCCAGACTTCGAAGGTACTATGCATCAACGGGCCACCAACAACCTGGCTGAACATCAGTCAGCAAGGAACACTGGCCCGTGTTGCTCTGCCATAATTTTTGTTCTCAAAATTAGTCACAAGGATGTTACATGTATTACTATATCGATATTAGAGGTCACACATTATTATTATATTAATAAAGGAAGCACTGAACCCATAAGGTTAACAGAATGGAAGTCAACATCATGGTAAGGGCAGAGTGAGGTGTCCCATAGCTGGACCACTAATGCACTCAGCTCACACACTGAGGTCCAGAGTTCGAATCTCTGGTACTTCTGGAAAACATTAGGGACATGTTTCCATAAAACACCTGCTGTACATGTTCACCCATTATTATAAAATGGGTACCTGGGTGTTAGTGGACTGGTGTGGGTCGCATCCTGGGACAAAACTGACATAATTTGCAGGAAATGCTCAGCATAACCAGCGACTTTCTATATAGGTAGTAGTATGTCACTGATGTCAGCTATGATCTGTATACCTTGTACATGTAGAAATAAAGATATTATTGTTAATGCTGCAGTGAACCCTGTGTGTGTACCGTGTTTACACTGCACACCTTATATGTTCACTGTGTGTACACCCTGTGTGTACCGTGTACACCGTGTGTACCGTGTACCCTGTGTACACCATGTGTGTACCGTGTATACCGTGTGTGTACCCTGTGTACACCGTGTGTAAGCTGTGTACACCGTGTGTAAGCTGTGTACACCGTGTGTAAGCTGTGTACACCGTGTGTAAGCTGTGTACACCGTGTGTAACCTGTGTACACCGTGTGTAACCTGTGTACACCGTGTGTAAGCTGTGTACACCGTGTGTAAGCTGTGTACACCGTGTGTAAGCTGTGTACATCGTGTAAGCTGTGTACACCGTGTAACCTGTGTACACCGTGTGTAAGCTGTGTACACCGTGTGTAACCTGTGTACACCGTGTGTGTGTACACTAGTATGAGTGTACCAAGACTAACATTATAACAAGTGGTAGCTGGAATTAAGTTAGACTCAACTATCGTTACTTGAGTGTTGACCATCAGCTGTTGAGTGGTCACGTGACCTCCTCAGACAACAACAGTTCAGTAGAGAGTCAGAGAGTCTATAATGTATGAGTGTTAAGAGTGTTGAAGCAGGTTAACACTACTCTCGTGTCCTCACTGATCCTCTTACCTTGCCTCTCTCACCTCCTGATCCTCTTACTGCCCAGTCTTCCCCCGGAAAACAAGGTTCGCCCGTCTATAGCCAATACTTTCGCCATTTTCTGGACAAAAGCTCGAGGGAATAAATCTGGAAGCTGGTGTTAGATCGTTGTGTGAGGGAGGTGAGGAGTGACATAACTGGTCAAGATGACCATCCTGCCCAAGAAGAAGCCACCACAACAGGGGTCAGGGTCAGGTGAGGTGGAGGGTAGTGAGACAGCCTCCTCCACCACCCACCAGCACCAGATGCCTATGGGTTCCCTTCCCAACCATATACAGGTGCGCCCACCCACCTCCACCCTCGTATATATATTCACTCACATCCACCCACATACTTCATACACTTTATATCACCCTTGCAGATTACTGACAAATATGTCTTGTCCTATTCGTGCACTTGTTCTTCAATATACTAAATGTTTTTATGTAAACATTAAGACATATCAATCAAGGATCCTAGTGGAAAAAGTCACTTCACCTGACTTTTTTTGGGTTATCCTGGAGGGTAATTTACACTGATAATTGTGCTTTTGTATACCTGTGTCTAAATAAACTTACTAGAATATTCAGTGATCTTAAATGCTTGTCTTCCATCTACAAACAATTCAGTTTTAAAGACAATTGATAATGTTATCTCTCAGATTTCTAATTTAATGCATGTTAAGGAATTCCTTGAGAGTATTTTATTTTGAGGGGTCGACTCCTCAAGGGTCTTAATGCTAGTGAGGAGCTCAAGATCCAAGGAACCAAACTTATTCTCATCTTCCTTGGATCATACCTGAATGTCTTTCATTCCTCAGGCACTGTAGGACCCATACAGGTTTAGCACTTCTCTATGAATACTGTATCATAATCTGAGAACACTTGTCACTCTGGTAAGCTTGGTACATTAAAAACCCAGACTAACTTTACTGCTCTCTTGAGACTCCCTTGCTGTATAGCCCTTGTGGCTTAGCGCTTCTTTTTGATTATAATAATAATTGAGACTCCCTCTGTCTTGGATGCCACACCTTGTCTTATAAATATGTACAGTGTACTTTTTTTTTATTATGTATGATAGTTTGCAATGGGAACAGTTATATTTTGGACAAATTTAGATAGAAGCTTTATATAATAATGTAACTCATCCTAACCCAAAATAGCCTAACCTAACCCAGCCATTAAACTGTGGGTTAAGTTTGGTTGGGTAACATTAGGGTAGGTTATACAATTAATCAGGAAGGTCTTTTCCCCACTGGTGCTCTTTTTTTTCTTTTTCTCTTTCCCTGTTTCTCATTTGTTCTCCCTTTTTTACACAGGGTTTTACAAGGTTAGATCTAGGGTTCCTAACTTTATTTACAAGCTAAGAGCTATTACCTCCATCAGCTCATTTGAAAGCCTTTCTTGCTCTTTGTTTCTTGCTCTTTCCTCTCTTTTTCTCTTTTCTTTTCCCTCTTTTTTTCTCTATTTATTTTTCTCATTTCCTCTCTCCTTTTTTTTCTTTTCCTTCTATTTTTTCTTTTGTCTTTCTTTTTCTCTTATCCTCTTTCTCTCTTCCTCCTTTCTTTTTTCCTTTTTCTCTTTTTTTCTTCTTTTCTCTTTTTTTCCCCTTTTTCCTTTTTCTATTTTTTTCTCTTTCTAGAAACTTTCTCTGTCTTTTATATATATCATACACCCATGTACAGGAGGCCCTCCACATTCGCGAATTCCACTTTCGCAAAATTCGAACATTTGCGAATGCCCAGCTGTCCAGATTTCATGTGTTTTCACGTATTTTATGTTTTCATGTTTTTTATGATTGTTCATGGTTCAATGGGTTAAGGAAGCAGTATTGTTAGGCTAAGTAAATGCTATTATTGTATTTCCTTACAATATATTTGAGCATGAAAACATTCACGAATGCTGCAGTACATTATTATTATATTTCTCTACATATTGTGCACCAAACATTCGGGAATTTTCAACATTCGCGAGGTTCTTGATCCCCTAACCCTCGCAAATGTGGAGGGCCTCCTGTACATACATATACACAATTTAATTTCAAACAGGTGATCATTACAATGCAGAACAAGCCACATGGGAATGGAAATCTTTAGCTCAAGATCTTTCATACATGTCATCATGGCTATGAAATGTTGCAAGTCTAGCAACAGATAAAGGAAAAATTCTGTCAGAGGCATGGTTTTACCATGTCAGTGTCACCCCATTTCATGTGGCATGGTCTACATGCATGCATGCATGCATATATATATATATATATATATATATATATATATATATATATATATATATATATATATATATATAATATATTATGTATGTATATGTGTATGTATGTATATGTGTATGTATGTATATGTGTATGTATGTATATGTGTATGTATGTATGTATATATATATGTATATATATACATGTATATATACATGTATATATGTAATCAAGGTGTACAAGCAGGTGTGTGAGTGACTGCGTTTGTATGACTACCTGTGTGTCTGATGCTGAGACTCCACCTACAGGCTGGGGAAGGGACGAGCCGGGGCACCTTGTATTTGTCATCACAGTCACCACCCCCTTGCTGGCCTCCCCCACCTCCCACGTCAACACCCCGGGAGGAGAAGCGCTCATCTCATGCATCTCCTTCACATTTTGAAGATGCACATGAGAGTGGTCCATCACACAGTAAGCGCCGCTACCGAGCCAGCCCCCTCAGGTATGATAGAGGGAAAATCGGCGTGGGCCACAATTGGCTTCATGTGTCGCTCGGTAATACATTGCTTCAACAGTTCAGTGTACGCTATCATGGCCTAAACTCTCTCGGCATTTGATGTTGGTGCTGAACTAGTGAGAAAAATTAATGTAATTAAATGTATGTGCAAAGATAACTCGGGATCTTTATCTTAACGTACAGTATATGGTATCAAACTTACCATTTTTCTTCCTTCATACACTGGAAATTATTCACCCTTCTTAACCCGTATTTGCCATATATAGTGCTTTGTTGTAGCCATATAAGCTTCAGATGCCATCCTCATATTAATAGCAATACAATGGAACCTCTACTTGCGAGTGCATCCACATGCGAGTTTTTCCAAATACGAGCAGTCGATGGGTTGATTGTTTTGCTTTCATATGCTAGCAAAATTTCTATAAGCGAGCAGACCTCAAGGCAGGTGAAGGGCTCTTGCTCTTGATCTTGGGAATTGTATCTCATTTGTTTGTTGGACTATCTTATTGAAACTTGGGCAATGTATGATGGAAAGATGTTTCTTAACTTACACCAAAAATGAAAGAAATCGGAGCATAAATAATGGGGTTCACTTCTCAGCAATTAGCCACCCCTTAGCAGTATTTTCGTTTGGTTTTTATGGTTGTGTTCTCGTTTTTTTGGTCTCATTTGATAGAATGGAAGATCTATTACAGAAATAGATATGATTTTGATTGCTTTCATGACAAAAAGTACCTTGAAATTGAGCTCAACATAGGAGAAATGTTACTGTCCATTCCAGTATGCAGTAGTGAATGGGTTGACATTATTTATACAATTATTGCAATAAGGCATAACAGTAAATCTTATGTTTTTTGTGTGAATAAAAATTACAAATTATTTACATTGTAATAATAATAATAATAATACATATAATAATAATAGTATAATAATATACAATAATAATAATAATAATATAATACATATAATAATTATATATAATAATGTACTACATAATAATTATAATAATAAACAGCTTCAAAAGGCCGTCACTAGATGGCACTGTTTACCACAACAAAGAGGGAGCGGTTGTGGCCGCCTCCACCTGTTACATAATGACATTTTATTCTAGAGTATATACCAGGTTTCTATGTTATTTATATTGTTTATTATTTCATATTAGATGAACCGTGATAGATAAATAAGCCATAGAGTTGATAGTGAAATATTCAAGGAGTATTTTGTCCTGTCTCCAGACAAACTCTCGTCCACCGCCGACACCGCCCATACCACTACATGAATTACATATTTTATTAATTTTAGAATATATATCAGGTTTCTATGTTATTTATATTGTTTATTATGTCATATTAGATGAAGTGAGATGGATAAATAAGCTGTAGAGTTGATATTAGCGAAATTATTAAAGTACAGTACAGAATTCCACTGGAACGGATTAATTACATTTCAGTTAATTTAAATGAGGAAAATTGGCTGTACAAACGAGCAAATCCAGTTGCGAGCAAGGTCATGGAACGGATTAAACTCGCAAGTAGAGGTTCCACTGTATTGGCCTGTAATTGTTTATATTGTATTTTATATAAAATTTATTGATCACCTCTATCTGGCTTTTTTTTTTTTCACTGAAAAATTTAGGCATAAAACAGGCTTTCTTATAGTTTTCTTTCTGAAATAAAACTCATTATGTGTAATGATGACTATATTGTTTACCATATACAGTATGCAAGTGTGTACTCTTCATAACCTTTAGGTAAGCATGGCTGGTATTTAAATATCTTTAATTTAAAAATGTTAATAAAAGAACTGGTCTGGACTAGTACTAGCAGCTACTTCATATCTGTTATTCTTGGTCAAAGAAGGTGGCTGATGCAATGGATGCTTACAGAAGTGTGCGTCCCAAACACCGTGACCATAGAGAACACCGGGGCAGTACCTCTCCACCTTACCCAAGTACAAGTAGCGGGTGGAGCGTGACACCAGTGAACCACCCTCACCCCCATCAGCATACACATCCTCACCCACATCCTCACCCTCATCCACATCCTCATCCACATCCACATCCACATCCTCATCCACATCCACTACCCATGTCAAACTCTATTGCTCCCGCCCTTCCCCCGGCTCTCTCCCCACAGGTGAGTCTGGCCACATGTAGAATATCTGCGGTGTGATGTCTGTAAGAGTGCCGGCTTGATGCCTTGTTAGGGAGGTACTGCATGAATCCAGCAATTTTTTTTTTTTTTTAAGCATATGTACAACCAAAAATAAAAGCTAGGCTCCTATGACTTCTTTTCAACCTGTACCCAAACTACATAAAACTGTAGTATTCTATTAACACTCCTTAAAATCAGTAGAATCATTTGAACATCCTAATCCACTACTATAGTTGGGATAAATAATAAATTACATACAAATTTTAGTTTCCTGTTTAGCTTATCCCGTGGATGTGTTAGCATTTAGATGAAGCACCAAGTGATACCTCACCTGATGTTTGTATTTGATGCCTTGTCAGGCATAAAGTACAAACCTGGGAGTCATTTCTCAACAGTAAATGGCAAAAGCAATGGAATAACATTAGAAAAATAAAACTCAAATCAGTCAAACCATATAATAAAAATGAACATTTCCAAACTTTATCAAAACAAAAAATTTAAATTTTCATTGCTTGGCACTGTGCTTTTACTCTTGAGTTTGTGGTTTTAAAGTTTAAGAAAATAGCTCGAAGATTTGTAGTTCTTGTGTGGCAGGGAAAAGTTTAACAGGTCATCTGAGCAGGTGCATACATAAACATACATTTGCCACAGGCAACACTATTTGAAGCACTGCATAGTAATCTATAATATCCCTACTTCTCTACTGTTTCTACATTTTTGTCATTATTTTCCCACTAATAAACTTCTGTGTAGATCAGATCATGACCTCGAAGTTCAGTAAAGCAGGTAAGTTATATGGAGCATACTCATATCTCCACCTGGGGCTGACAGATTTCCTTACCCTTAGGTTGAAGTATCAGGGAAAACCATCTTGTCATAAATTATGATAGAAGAGCCAGTGCTGAATTGATGAGGTGTTGTTGGTTAAATTTATTTTATTTTATTATCACACTGGCCGATTCCCACCAAGGCAGGGTGGCCCGAAAAAGAAAAACTTTCACCATCATTCGCTCCATCACTGTCTTGCCAGAAGGGTGCTTTACACTACAGTTTTTAAACTGCAACATTAACACCCCTCCTTCAGAGTGCAGGCACTGTACTTCCCATCTCCAGGACTCAAGTCCGGCCTGCCGGTTTCCCTGAATCCCTTCATAAATGTTACTTTGCTCACACTCCAACAGCACGTCAAGTATTAAAAACCATTTGTCTCCATTCACTCCTATCAAACACGCTCACGCATGCCTGCTGGAAGTCCAAGCCCCTCGCACACAAAACCTCCTTTACCCCCTCCCTCCAACCCTTCCTAGGCCGACCCCTACCCCGCCTTCCTTCCACTACAGACTGATACACTCTTGAAGTCATTCTGTTTCGCTCCATTCTCTCTACATGTCCGAACCACCTCAACAACCCTTCCTCAGCCCTCTGGACAACAGTTTTGGTAATCCCGCACCTCCTCCTAACTTCCAAACTACGAATTCTCTGCATTATATTCACACCACACATTGCCCTCAGACATGACATCTCCACTGCCTCCAGCCTTCTCCTCGCTGCAACATTCATCACCCACGCTTCACACCCATATAAGAGCGTTGGTAAAACTATACTCTCATACATTCCCCTCTTTGCCTCCAAGGACAAAGTTCTTTGTCTCCACAGACTCCTAAGTGCACCACTCACTCTTTTTCCCTCATCAATTCTATGATTCACCTCATCTTTCATAGACCCATCCGCTGACACGTCCACTCCCAAATATCTGAATACGTTCACCTCCTCCATACTCTCTCCCTCCAATCTGATATTCAATCTTTCATCACCTAATCTTCTTGTTATCCTCATAACCTTACTCTTTCCTGTATTCACCTTTAATTTTCTTCTTTTGCACACCCTACCAAATTCATCCACCAATCTCTGCAGCTTCTCTTCAGAATCTCCCAAGAGCACAGTGTCATCAGCAAAGAGCAGCTGTGACAACTCCCACTTTGTGTGTGATTCTTTATCTTTTAACTCCACGCCTCTTGCCAAGACCCTCGCATTTACTTCTCTTACAACCCCATCTATAAATATATTAAACAACCACGGTGACATCACACATCCTTGTCTAAGGCCTACTTTTACTGGGAAAAAATTTCCCTCTTTCCTACATACTCTAACTTGAGCCTCACTATCCTCGTAAAAACTCTTCACTGCTTTCAGTAACCTACCTCCTACACCATACACTTGCAACATCTGCCACATTGCCCCCCTATCCACCCTGTCATACGCCTTTTCCAAATCCATAAATGCCACAAAGACCTCTTTAGCCTTATCTAAATACTGTTCACTTATATGTTTCACTGTAAACACCTGGTCCACACACCCCCTACCTTTCCTAAAGCCTCCTTGTTCATCTGCTATCCTATTCTCCGTCTTACTCTTAATTCTTTCAATTATAACTCTACCATACACTTTACCAGGTACACTCAACAGACTTATCCCCCTATAATTTTTGCACTCTCTTTTATCCCCTTTGCCTTTATACAAAGGAACTATGCATGCTCTCTGCCAATCCCTAGGTACCTTACCCTCTTCCATACATTTATTAAATAATTGCACCAACCACTCCAAAACTATATCCCCACCTGCTTTTAACATTTCTATCTTTATCCCATCAATCCCGGCTGCCTTACCCCCTTTCATTTTACCTACTGCCTCACGAACTTCCCCCACACTCACAACTGGCTCTTCCTCACTCCTACAAGATGTTATTCCTCCTTGCCCTATACACGAAATCACAGCTTCCCTATCTTCATCAACATTTAACAATTCCTCAAAATATTCCCTCCATCTTCCCAATATCTCTAACTCTCCATTTAATAACTCTCCTCTCCTATTTTTAACTGACAAATCCATTTGTTCTCTAGGCTTTCTTAACTTGTTGGTTAAATATGCATATTAAAAACATCACTTAGCTGATAATACTGTGAACAAGCACCAAGAATATCAAACTGATGAATAAGTTGCATTCCTAATTTGTAATTTACAATCTTTTCCTAAAGAAAACATTTTTTTTTTTTTCAAATTCAAGTTTATTTCCATATTGGAGTATCCAATGTGGAGGTAATCATGGGCAGGTAAGAGTACCTGGCAATCTCACATCTGAGCCCCTTTAATTTTTAACATGCTGTTTATGCTTCACTATAAGCTGCAAGGGTTTGGTCTTAATTGACTTCTGGTAACCTCTTGGTATACTGTATGTACTGTACACTACTATTCAAATTCAGATTTGTATTTTTTTTTTATGCTGCACAAAGCTAATGTAGTTTACATGTAATAAAACATTGTTAGGCACAAAAGAAATCTACTATTATGCAGCCGCATCTCAGGCAAACTAATCCTAATGCTTAATCCTTTCACTGCCTAGACCCCTGATCTGAAACTTGTCCACAGTGTCCAAGAATTTAAAAAAAAAAATGATTTTTCTTATGAAATGGTAGAGAATCTTTTTCTGAAGGTAATAAAACAAAAAGCACAAATTTGATCAAAAGTTCATGAAATTGCACTTTCACAAATTTTGCTGTGTTAGTAATATTTACGCATTGGCGATTTTGCCTACTTTGAGTCCTATTTTAGGCCAATTACTTGTTCTGGTTGAACGAGTCTGTTAAGTAGAATGTACTATGCATTAATTAAAGTTATATGCACACGAAGAAGGGTAGCTAAATGAACAATGATATACTTTAAGTATGACTATTTTTTTTTCAAACTGATCCAGTGATCTTTAGTTAATTGGGGTTTCTGAGACATACAATTATATGCACAATAACGTAGCTAATATATAAAAGTTACAATTTTAAAAGTATGATTTATTATACTGTGCAGCACTGTACTGTACATATATCATTGGGAGCAGCAACTTTCAACTAGTGGGTGTCAGGTGTTATTGTTAAGTTGAGTCTGACCTCCATCATTGTATGAAAATGTTTTAATACTTCTGGTGAAGGAATCTTGATCCAAGGAATTGAAGCTACCTTCCCCTTCCTCATATCAAACCTAATTATTTACCATCTGAGGCACTGTATGACCCTTATGGATTTAGCACTTTGCCATGAACAGACTACATAAAATGCTGAAGGGTTGTAAATTACATACTTGTGATCAAAACCAAAATATTCTATTTTAGCCATTAATGTTATCATTAACCCTTTCAGTGTCCGTGCCGTAGATCTACGGCTTTACGTTGAGGGTCCAAACCGTAGAGCTACGCCATGAGCTCAGCTCACTCTGATAAGCTGTGAGTGGTAAATTTGGGCCTAGATATGAGAGAATACATCTATGTGGTATGTGTGCACCACATAAAACAAATCCTGCAGCACACACTGCATAATGAGAAAAAAACTGAGACCGTAATTTTCGATTAAACCAGCAACTTTGCAGTATTTTTTGTATGTTTATTATAGGTATATTTGCGATTTCTTGGTTTCATTTGATAGAATGGAAGATATATTACAGAGTAATGGAAGATATATTACAGAAATAGAGATGATTTTGATTGGTTTTAGTACTGAAAATGGCTTGAAACTGTGCTCAAAGTAGCGGAAATGTTAAATTTTTGCCAGTGTTCAAGAGTAAACAAATGACCTCACACGTTTAATACACACCAGCTGGTGGATCTAATATACGTTCACAAATGTGCTGATATTATTTATACAATTATTACAGTATTGCATGACAGTAAATCTTCTGTTTTTTGGTTTGAATAAAAATTCATTATGTGAATTAAAAATCAAAATGGAATTCATTTGTAAAGCCTGAAAACGTAACTAATGAACAGATGAAATGTTAGTTTAGTGCCAGGAATGCCTGCATTGTTTATTCTGGACCCTATTTTGAAATTGGAATATTTTGAACTTTGCACTAAATTCGCCAAATTACCAAATTCCAGTCACTTTATTTTGTAGTTGAAACAGTCAAAGTCGGCAAAATCACTTGATGCGTAAATATCGCAGACACGTCAAAATTTGTGAGAGCATAATTTTCGTCAGTTTTCCATCAAATTTCGTACTTTTTGCTTTATTACCTTCAGAAAAAGATTCTATACCATTTCATAAGAAAAAATAACAAAACTATTTTTTGAAAATTCTTGGACACAGGTGAGCACTTTGAAATTTGGCCTCTGGACCCTAAAAAGGTTAAGCAGTATAATATTTAGAGAAGTTTGTCAAAAAGTTTTGATGTGTTTGATATCACAACCCTTCAAAGGGTGCCAGGATGCTCAGAGAAGGGCTCCTGATGCAAGGAATGTGAGTTATCCCACTTCCTCAGATCAGACCTGATTACCTCTCATTTTGTAAGTGCAGTATGAATTTTAGGGGTTCAGCACTTGTCTCTGAACACTGTACCTAATAATAATAATTGATTTCATAAGTACAGGGAGTCAAGAGGTACAGTGGAACCTCGGTTTTCGTCATTAATTCGTTCCAGAAAGTCTGATGAAAACTGAAGCAATATTTCCCATAAGAAATAATGTAAATCCAATTAATCCATTACAGAAACCCTAAAGTATTAACAAAAAATACATTTTATAGAGAATAACTATAGTTTTACATACAGAAAACAATGAGAAATAAATATAAAGGATTAATGAAATGGATAAATGAACATTTAACATCACTTTTACCTTTATTGACGACTCTTGTTGGCATATGGAAGACAGCGAGGAGGGAAGAGGGGGAAAGGTTGTCTCTACCACCATCACAACCACTACCACCCTCTACCACCATCACAACCACTACCACCATCACAACCACTACCACCCTCTACCACCATCACAACCACTACCACCCTCTACCACCATCACAACCACTACCACCCTCTACCACCATCACAACCACTACCACCCTCTACCACCATCACAACCACTACCACCCTCTACCACCATCACAACCACTACCACCCTCTACCACCATCACAACCACTACCACCCTCTATCACCATCACAACCACTACCACCCTCTACTACCACCACAACCACTACCACCCTCTACCACAATCACTACCACCCTCTACCACAATCACTACCACTCTCTACCACAGTCATTATCACCCTCTACCATCATCACAATCACTATCACCCTCTACCACCACCACTACCACCCTCTACTGACGAGAAACAAAGCCAGACTGACTCAGAACACGTGGGATGCTTAGTGTGGGCGAGGTTGGACATGTTCAGTACAGCGGACCACTGTCAACTTGACAAAAACCGAGGTGATGACCGAAAACTGGGACAAAATTTTGACCAAAAAGTAGTCAAAACCCGAATTCAATGAAAACCAGGGCAAACAAAAACTGAGGTTCCACTGTAATTGTGTTATGCTGAATGTTATTACCATAATGCTGTGCATTACTAGGTTGCAAGTCTCTGTAAATATCATGTACCTTCTTTTTCTAAAAGACAAGTAATTGTATAAAATGAATACAGTGTAATAGAATAGGCAAAGATAGCCATATGAGGATTTAGTGTTGTTATTTTTTTATATACTCCTCTCGGCTTCATTATGTCTTAAGCTGTACAGTACTTATCGTACGACACTCTGCAGATTGTTGACATCGCAATTCTACAATGAAAAACACCCAACTGAACACAGTGGTATTTGATATTATAGGCTGGACCCTCGCAACCCCCAGATGAAGAGGACAATGACCATAGCGGGTACAACAGTGGAGACGAATATGAGCCGTTTGGGTGGAACCTAACTGCTGATCAGTGGGAGGAGGTAGGTTGTGGGTCGTTATGTATAACAGGAAGTAGGCTGTCACTTTATATATAACAAGGTTAGGCTGTGCATAACTCATTTATGTACAGTATTGTTAAGAAATAAGGCTAGACAGGGATGGCCTTTATATTATTCTTGTAGCAGTAAATATATTAAGGGCTTTAAAATGAGCTGAGGAAGGATAACAGCTCTTAGCCTGTAAAATTGATTTGTGTAAAAAAAAAAAAATTGCTACAAATGAGTATCTATGAAAATAAAGATACCCAACTGTTGTACTTGTGTCTAACTCGTCTACTTGTTGTTATTGTATACTATTAATATAATTATATTTTTGTTCATGCAGAAAGAGCGAAGATTTGAAAAGAAGATGAAGAAAAAGGGTCTCATGATTAAGAAGATGCGTGAAGATGGTGCTTGTCTTTTCCGTGCCATCGCTGATCAAGTTTATGGTGATCAGGATATGCACAGCAGTGTTAGAAAAAACTGCATGGATTATGTAGTGAGTCTCTCCAGATTTTAGTCGCATGTGTGTATAACTTCTCCGTGGGGAAGTGGAACAGAATTCTTCCTCCGTAAGCCATGCGTGTCGTAAGAGACGACTAAAATGCCAGGAGCAAGGGGCTAGTAACCCCTTCTCCTGTATAAATTACTAAAGTTAAAACGAGAAACTTTCGGTTTTCTTTTTGGGCCACCCTGCCTTGGTGGGATACGGCCGGTGTGTTGAAAGAAAAAAAAGTGTATATAACTGTTGATTATAGTGTTGAATATATTTCCTAAATAACCGATAATTTTGAAAGGACTTTTAAGAGGTTTGGTCCATTCTGGACCATTATCAATTTCATTTCCAAATTAACATTGTAACTTATTCTGTGTAGAATAAATATTCCTGACAAGTTGCTGGAGTGTGAGCAGGTTAATATTTTCTAAAGGGATTCAGGGAAACCGGTTAGTTGGACTTGTGCCCTGGAGGTGGAAAGTACAATTCCTGCACATTAAAGGAGGGGTTTGGGATATTAGCTGTTATGAGTGACATTTAAACTGTTGTATATGAGTGCCTCTGCAAAGACAATAATTATGTGGAATGATTTTGAAAGTGTTGAATGATCGTAAAAATTTTCCTTTCTTTTATGAGTCATCCTGCCTCAGTGGGAGACAACCAACGTGTTAAAAAAAAGTGTGTATGTTTGCTAGAAGTCCTTGCCATATGTCCTGTATAACAATAGATGTAGACAATGAATTTTGCACTATAGAGACCTGAGACTGAAGATAAGCTTTTCTTCACAGGCCCTTAATGAAGATGCTTTTGCTCCCTTTGTATCCGAGAACTTCCAGACATATGTACAAAGAAAGAGACGAGATGACTGCTTTGGCAACCACATAGAATTAGCAGCCATGTCAGAAATGTATAACCGTATCATCGAAGTATATTGCTACAGTGTAGGTGAGTAATGAAATTCTACAGCAAGATATATTACTGCAGTGTAGATGGGCATTAAAGCATAGGTGCTAGGATATGTACTTAAGTCATTTGTCATAGATACAAAAATAAGAAGAGCTTTGATTCACAGACTTAATATGTAAAAGTAGAAGCAGGTTATTGTAATGACATAAAAACAATTTAGAAAATACAGCCTTTGCTGGCATGCATGTATATTTATACTATAAATATTTTTCAGAACCTATCAACAGTTTCCAAGGTAGCCTAGAGACTGACAATGAGCCTATCCGGTTAAGTTACCATATGGGCACGCACTATAACAGCCTGGTGGACCCCTTCAAGGCCACCATTGGTGTAGGTCTGGGTCTGCCGGGCTTCCAGCCAGGTCAGGCAGAGAAAAATTTAATGAAGGAGGCAACCAGGCAGAGTGAGAACGTTCATCTGGAGCAGGTCAGTTTCACCACAATACTTAACATGTACATTCTTCTTTGTCAAACTATCCTTGTTTTACGTTTATATCCTTATGCATTACCTAATAAACCTGTAATATTGTATATTTAACACAAATAAGTAAAGCAAATCCTTTCATTAATGGACAATAGGGGCAAGGGGGGTGTACAATTTTGCCAATACAGTGGACCCCCGGTTAACAATATTTTTTCACTCCAGAAGTATGTTCAGGTGCCAGTACTGACCGAATTTGTTCCCATAAGAAATATTGTGAAGTAGATTAGTCCATTTCAGACCCCCAAACATACACGTACAAACGCACTTACATAAATACACTTACATAATTGGTCACATTCGGAGGTAATCGTTATGCGTGGGTCCACTGTAGTCCGAAACTTTTGAATTTTGAAATTAATTTTTATGATTGTCTGGTTGTCTTCTGAATGAGTAGGCTTTCTGATACTTCAAATGACAACTGGACAATAAGAATATGGGTATTGTAGCCTGTAGTAGTACAGTACTATACTGTATAGTAATTATATTACTGTACATAATTTACAGCAATTTTTACTTACCTTTCCACATTGGAGAAATGAGGCGTAAACCACAGTGATTGATAGTGAGGACTCAGAATAACTTTTATTCTGAGTCAGAGGAGCTTTAAAGCTCTACTAGATAAAATGTAAACATCATCTACAGATATCAGACGGTGATTCTTAACGTCACATGCCTCGCATAACCGTGCCACTGAGATGCCAGACTTGACTTTCTCTGTTAACATTGAGAACCACACATTTCCTCTTGCCACCACCACATGATTTACAAGCCATTGTTAATTGCAGTTGACTTAGTATGTTAATAAACTTTTACAAAGCACTAAATCCAGGAAAAATTGGAAACTAAATAATGAGTGTGAGTGCACAAACAATGAATTGCATGGGTGGCTTATGACTCAGGAAACAAGAAAAACACGAGTCCTGGATATGACTTCTCTGGCCCATACCAGACAAACATCAGAGTTGGACTGATATTTCAGAAGACAGCTAAACACTATCACTATTGACAAAATCCAGAATTACAGACTTTTTTTCATTTTACCAATACTTCCAATGTTTGTTCAGCCAATTTTTTTTTTTTTTTTTTTGTTCGAAATTGTGGAAATTCACTGAGGTGTTTTACTGTAACTTAAAAAAAAAAAAAAAGGATGTTGAATAACTTTGCAAATTATGTGTTAGAATCTTTACTGACCTATTGAGCCATTATATACATGTTACAAATGTGGTTATTTAATATTGTTACTTGATTTTAATACACAAATCTCTTGTTGAGCAGGTCATGTACTGACCATATGAGCAAATCGCTTCCATTGACTGGACTTGATTACCCTCCATTTCCCAGGCTCTCTCTGATTCTTATGATGCTTCCTCCTAAATAGGGAGGAGTATATGGAGAGAAAGAGAGAGGTTAAGAGAGTGGTGAAGCAGTGTAAAAAGAGAGCAAATGAAAGAGTGGGTGAGATGTTATCAACAAATTTTGTTGAAAATAAGAAAGTTTTGGAGTGAGGTTAATAAGTTGAGGAAGCCTAGGGAACAAATTGATTTAATTGTTAAAAATAGAAGAGGAGAGTTATTAAATGGAGAGTTAGAGGTATTGGGAAGATGGGGGGGGGGGAGGGGGGAATATTTTGAGGAATAGTTAAATGGTGATGAAGATAGGTATTACAACCCAGGAGTCCCTAAGGCCTGTTATCCTGGGTATAAAGGGAGCAAAATAAACACAGCAGAAAAACTTTTTGACTTGTATTATCCTTCACCAATTTAGAACAGAAGTATGTACACTATATACACTATGTACAACAATAGGTATTAGTGCACTTCACGGTAAGCAAGGCAGAATAGAAGCCACTAGAGAGCAGAACGTGCTTCAACCAGCTCTAGAATGGGAATAACAAGGGCAGACAGGTGAGTGGTACCCACATCACCTCTGCAATTGCCAAAACCATCTTCTTATTGGCTGGAACCTGGGTACTGGTTGAACAACGGGGCCCCATCGTTAACTCTTAGCACCTGGTTCGCTGGTTGGGAGAGAGAGCCTTTCAATGAGGGTGTGTACATGTGCCGAATAAAGGTTACGTACTCTTTGCATGCCACAATAGGGAAGCTCTGATTTCGTGTGTAAGGCAAGGAGGAATAACATCTTGGAGTGGGGAGGAGCGAGTTGTGAGGGTAGGGGAAGTTTGTGAGGCAGTGGGTAGAATGAAAGGGGGTAAAGCAGCTGGGATTGATGGGATAAAGATAAAAATGTTAAAAGCAGGTGGGGATATAGTTTTCGAGTGGTTGGTGCTTATATTTAATAAATGTATGGAAGAAAGTAAAGGGTGTGATAAAAGAGAAAAAGGTAGCTTATGAGAGGATTTTACAAAGCAGAAGTGTTATACGAAGAGTAGAGTATATGGAGAGTAAAAGACGGGTGAAGAGAGTGGTGAGAGTGCAAAAGGAGAGCAGATGATAAAGTGGGAGAGGCACTGTCAAGAAATTTTAATGAAAATAAGAAAAAAATTTGAAGAGTTAAACAAGTTAAGAAAGCCTAGGGAACGAATGGATATGTCAGTTAAAAATAGAGTAGTGGAGTTAGTAGATGGGGAGATGGAGGTACTGGGTAGGTGGCGAGAATATTTTGAGGAACCTTTAAATGTCGACGAAGGGAGGCGGTAATTTCATGCGCTGGCCAGGGAGGTATACCATCTTGTAGGAGTGAAGAAGAGCAGGATGTGAGTGTGGGGGAAGTACATGAGGCATTATGTAGAATAATAGGGGGTAAAGCAGCTGGAACTGACAGGATCATGACAGAAATGTTAAAAGCAGGGGGGATATAATGTTGGAGTGGTTGGTATTTTTGTTTAATGTATGAAAGAGGGGAAGGTACCTAGGAATTGGCAGAGAGCATGTATAGTCCCATTATATAAAGGGAAGGGGGACAAAAGAGATTGTAAAAATTATAGAGGAATAAGTTTACTGAGTATACCAGGAAAAGTATACGGTAGGGTTATAATTGAAAGAATTAGAGGTAAGACAGAATGTAGAATTGCGGATGAGCAAGGAGGCTTCAGAGTGGGTAGGGGATGTGTAGATCAAGTGTTTACATTGAAGCATATATGTGAACAGTATTTAGATAAAGGTAGGGAAGTTTTTATTGCATTTATGGATTTAGAAAAGGCATATGATAGAGTGGATAGAGGAGCAATGTGGCAGATGTTGCAAGTTTATGGAATAGGTGGTAAGTTACTAAATGCTGTAAAGAGCTTTTATGAGGATAGTGAGGCTCAGGTTAGGGTGTGTAGAAGAGAGGGAGACTACTTCCCAGTAAAAGTAGGTCTTAGACAGGGATGTGTAATGTCACCATGGTTGTTTAATATATTTATAGATGGGGTTGTAAAAGAAGTAAATGCTAGGGTGTTCGGGAGAGGGGTAGGATTAAATTATGGGGAATCAAATTCAAAATGGGAATTGACACAGTTACTTTTTGCTGATGATACTGTGCTTATGGGAGATTCTAAAGAAAAATTGCAAAGGTTAGTGGATGAGTTTGAGAATGTGTGTAAAGGTAGAAAGTTGAAAGTGAACATAGAAAAGAGTAAGGTGATGAGGGTATCAAATGATTTAGATAAAGAAAAATTGGATATCAAATTGGGGAGGAGTAGTATGGAAGAAGTGAATGTTTTCAGATACTTGGGAGTTGACGTGTCGGCGGATGGATTTATGAAGGATGAGGTTAATCATAGAATTGATGAGGGAAAAAAGGTGAGTGGTGCGTTGAGGTATATGTGGAGTCAAAAAACGTTATCTATGGAAGCAAAGAAGGGAATGTATGAAAGTATAGTAGTACCAACACTCTTATATGGATGTGAAGCTTGGGTGGTAAATGCAGCAGCGAGGAGATGGTTGGAGGCAGTGGAGATGTCCTGTCTAAGGGCAATATGTGGTGTAAATATTATGCAGAAAATTCGGAGTGTGGAAATTAGGAGAAGGTGTGGAGTTAATAAAAGCATTAGTCAGAGGGCAGAAGAGGGGTTGTTGAGGTGGTTTGGTCATTTAGAGAGAATGGATCAAAGTAGAATGACATGGAAAGCATATAAATCTATAGGGGAAGGAAAGAGGGGTAGGGGTCGTCCTCGAAAGGGTTGGAAAGAGGGGGTAAAGGAGGTTTTGTGGACGAGGGGCTTGGACTTCCAGCAAGCGTGCATGAGCATGTTAGATAGGAGTGAATGGAGACGAATGATACTTGGGACCTGACGATCTGTTGGAGTGTGAGCAGGGTAATATTTAGTGAAGGGATTCAGGGAAACCGGTTATTTTCATATAGTCGGACTTGAGTCCTGGAAATGGGAAGTACAATGCCTGCACTTTAAAGGAGTGGTTTGGGATATTGGCAGTTTGGAGGGATATGTTGTGTATCTTTATACGTATATGCTTCTAAACTGTTGTATTCTGGGCACCTCTGCAAAAGCAGTGATAATGTGTGAGTGTGGTGAAAGTGTTGAATGATGATGAAAGTATTTTCTTTTTGTTTTCTTTTTGGGGATTTTCTTTCTTTTTTGGGTCACCCTGCCTCGGGGGGAGACGACTGACTTGTTGAAAAAAAAAAAAAGTTTACTGAGTATACCAGGAAAAGTATATGGTAGGGTTATCATTGAAAGAATTAGAGGCAAGACAGAATGTTGGATTGCAGATGAGCAGGGAGGTTTTAGAGTGGGTAAGGGATGTGTAGATCAAGTGTTTACATTGAAGCATATATGTGAACAGTATTTAGATAAAGGTAGGGAAGTTTTTATTGCATTTATGGATTTAGAAAAGTCATATGATAGAGTGGATAGAGGAGCAATGTGACAATGTTAAAAGTATATGGAATAGGTGGTAAGTTACTAAATGCTGTAAAGAGTTTTTATGAGGATAGTGAGGCTCAGGTTAGGGTGTGTAGAAGAGAGGGAGATTACTTCCCAATAAAAGTAGGTCTTAGGCAGGGATGTGTAATGTCACAATGGTTGTTTAATATGTTTATAGATGGGGTTGTAAAAGAAGTAAATGCTAGGGTGTTCGGGTTGTAAATGCTGCAGCGAGGAGGCAGTTGGAGGCAGTGGAGATGTCCTGTCTAAGGGCAATGTGTGGTGTGAATATTATGCAGAAAATTCGGAGTGTGGAAGGCGGGGTAGGGGTTGTCCTCGAAAAGGTTGGAGGGAGGAGGTAAAGGAGGTTTTGTGGGCAAGGGGCTTGGACTTCCAGCAAGCGTGCGTGAGCGTGTTAGATAGGAGTGAGTGGAGACAAATGGTATTTGGGACCTGACTAGCTGTTGGAGTGTGAGCAGGGTAATATTTAGTGAAGGGATTCAGGGAAACCGGTTATTTTTGTATAGTTGGACTTGAGTCCTGGAAATGGGAAGTACAATGCCTGCACTTTAAAGGAGGGGTTTGGGATATTGGCAGTTTGGAGGGATATGTTGTGTATCTTTATATGTATATGCTTCTAAACTGTTGTATTCTGAGCACCTCTGCAAAAACAGTGATTATGTGTGAGTGAGGTGAAAGTGTTGAGTGATGATGAAAGTATTTTCTTTTTGGGGATTTTCTTTCTTTTTTGGGTCACCCTGCCTCGGTGAGAGACGGCTGACTTGTTGAAAAAAGAAAAAAAGTATGGAAGAGGGTAAGGTGCCTAGGGATTGGAAGAGAGCATGCGTAGTTCCTTTGTATAAAGGCAAAGGGGACAAAAGAGAATGCAAATATTATAGGGGAATAAGTCTTTTGAGTATACCTGGTAAAGTGTATGGGAGAGTTGTTATTGAAAGAATTAAGAGTAAAATGGAGAGTAGAATAGCAGATGAAAAAGGAGGCTTTAGGAAGGGTAGAAGGTGTGTAGACGAAGTGTTTACAGTGAAATATATAGGTGAACAGTATCTAGATAAGGGTAAAGAGGTTTTTGTGGCATTTATGGATTTGGAAAAGGCATATGACAGGGTGGATAGAGGGGCAATGTGGCAGATGTTGCAAATGTATGGAATAGGAGGTAGGTAATTGAAAGCAGTAAAAAGTTTTTGAGGATAGTGAGGCTCAGGTTAGAGCATGTAGGAGAGAGGGAGATTATTTCCCAGTAAAAGTAGGTCTTAGACAAGGATGTGTGATCTCACCATGGTTGTTCAGTATATTAATAGATGGGGTTGAAAGAGAAGTGTATGCACGGGTGTTGGCAAGAGGTTTAGGGTTAAAAGATAAAGAACCTAACACATAGTAAGAGTTGTTACAGTTGCTCTTTGCTGATGACACTGTGCTTTTGGGAGATTCTGAAGAGAAGTTGCAGAGGTTGGTGGATGAGTGTGGTAAAGTATGTAAAAGAGGAAAATTGAAAGTGAATACATGTACGTATAGGAAAGAGTAAGGTGATGAAGATAACAAAAAAAATAGGTAACGAAAGATTGGATGTCAGGTTGGAGGGAGAGTGTATGGAGGAGGTGAATGTATTCAGATATTTAGGAGTTGACATGTCAGCAGATTGGTCTATGAAAGATAAGGTGAATCATAGAATTGGCGAGGGGGTAAAAGGTGAATAGTGCACTTAGGAATCTGTGGAGACAAAGAACTTTGTCCATGGAAGCAAAGCGGGGAATGTATGAGTATAATGATATCAGTGCTCTTATATAGGTGTGAAACATGGGTGGTGAATGTTGCAACAAGGAGAAGGTTGGAGGCAGTGGAGATGTTGTGTCTGAGGGCAATGTGTGGTGCGAACATAATGCAGAGAATTCGTAGTTTGGAAATCAGGAGGAGGTGCAGGATTACCAAAACTATTATCCAGAGGGCTGAGGAGGGGTTGTTGAGGTGGTTTGGACATGTAGAGAGGTTGGAACAAAATAGAATGACTTCGAGAGTGTATAAATCAGTAGTGGAGGGAAGGCAGGATAGAGGTCGGCCTAGGAAAGGTTGGAGGGAGGGGGTAAAGGAAGTTTTGTGTGCAAGGGGCTTGGACTTCCAGCAAGCATGCATGAGCATGTTAGATACGAGTGAATGGAGACAAATGATTTTTAGGACTTGACGTGCTGTTGGAGTGTGAGCAGGGTAATGTTTATGAAGGGATTCAGGGAAGCCGGCAGACCGGACTTGAGTCCTGGAGATGGGAAGTACAATGCCTGCACTCTGAAGGAGGGGTGTTAATGTTGCAGTTTTATAACTTAAGTGCACCTCTGTCAAGACAGTGATGGAGTGAATGATGGTGAAAGGTTTTCCTTTTTTTGGGCCATCCTACCTTGGTGGGAAACAACTGATGTGTTAATGTAAAATAAAAAAAAAATATAATAATACAGAAACATTTTTTCAGGCTATGTTAGAAGACAAAATCAGAGCTACAGATTTTGAGGCCACAAGCGAGGCTATAGAAGAGCAGGTTGCCCGTGAGAGTTACCTTCAGTGGTTACGAGAAAACGATCAGCGCTCCAAAGGCCAGGTGAAGATATGCATTTTTGAGCAAGCACAAAACAAGTTCTATAGCATTCTAAGAATGTTTTAACCCTTGAGGATGAAGGCTTGTACATAAATTACTGATTAATACATATAACCCTTGATTATCAATCTGCCATTAATCCTTCATCACTTCTTTATCTTGTCTTTTAAGAGTTTTTCTATCTGCTTATCCCTTCATGGGGGTTCCCTGATTCCAGTGAGGGGCTCTTGATCCAATAAATTGAATATCTTTCCCTCTTCTTGATCAAACCTAATTACATCCATTACCCAGGTACTGTATGACCCATAGTGCTTCCTCCTGTATATAATATAGTATTAACACTTTAATGTATCTGTTTATATCAGTATCTTTACCACCTGTTGATTTCCTTCTTTCCTATGATTAATTTGACTGTTTTCTTGCTCTTGTATCTTAACACACACACTGTTATTGCTTCTTATCTCACTGTAGTATTATGATTTGAAAATTAGGTTATTGAAGCCTGATTGCTCTGTACTAACATATTGTAGAATTTTTTACATAAAATTAGTTCTTTAGTAGTTTTTATTGATACGGTTGAAGGGCTCTTGATCAGAAGAATTGGAGCTATCCTCTCCTTCCTCAGATCAAGCATGATTACTTCCCATTCCCTTGCAATGTGTGACCCTTGATGGTATAAAAAGTGTTCATTATTATAGATACTAGTGTTTGACTGTGTGGTACTGCCTGGAGCATGGTTTAAGGCACTGCTGAATCCCAGAATTTATTATCAAAGAGAGGCTGGAGCAAAATATGATAACTCAAGAGTGTATAAATCTATAGTGGAGGGAAGGAGGGGTAGGGGGTTGTCCTAGAAATTGTTAGATGGAGGGAGGTAAAGGAGGTTTTGCATGCAAAGGGCCTGGTCATTCAACAAGCTTATATGAGTATGTTAGATAGGAGAGAGTGGAGGCAAGTAGTTTTTATGAAATCGTGCTGTTGGAGTGTGATCACGGTAACATTTATGATGGAATTCACTGAAAGCTAGTTAGCTGAACTTTAAGTCCTAGTGGTGGGATGTGCAGTGCCTTCACTCTAAAGGAGGGTTGGGGATGTTGCAGTGTGGAGGGGCATCAGAGCTATAATGTTGGCACACCTCTAGCAAGACAGCAGTTATAGAGTAAGTGATGGTGAAAGTGTTTATTCTATTTCAGGTCACCCTGCCTTGGTGGGAGACGACCAGTGTGTTAAAAAAATCTTTCTTTATAATCTTTTCTAGTAATTTGCATGATAGGAAGTCGTCTAATATTACAATGTTTTTGCCCTTGAGTGTATGCTAATAAAATATATTATTAATAGCAGTAGTATTTTTAGATACAGGTGTCCCTAGCTTCATGTAGTAGAAACTTTCTAGGCCTTTGGTAACTGTTCTAAGCTGAATCAGACCATCAACATTTAATGCCACATAAAAAGAATCTTCAGTGTGTTTTGCAAACTTCACCAACATACATACGAACTTACTGACAGAAATGGGACATCACATAATAATAAATACATATTGAGCAAACCCACACGAAGTGATGGAAATTTTTATATACAGTACTGTTTATGATTTGATTAAATTTCTTTCCTTTCATTTTCATAGCGATCTCCCTCTTCACCGTCGGGCTCCAGCTCCAGTGATCGCTGTACTCGAGGACGCTCCTCGCCTATCCATCAAAGCTCTCAGGCAGAAGGATCCACGGAAACTTCTCGTAGCTCCCCTCGTTCATCCCCTTGCACCACTGAGTTGGCTAGGTTATCACCTCGTAATTCCACTTCGCCTCGTGGATCCATGTCGCCTCGTAGTTCTACATCTCCTCGTGATTCAACATCACCAAGGAGTTCCTCTTCACTTCGTGGATCATCAAGCTCCAAAGAGACAAGCTCTGAGCCCAACCATGACCCAGCTGTTCCTGGCTCCTCCAAAGACCCAATGCCCTCATCCTCAGGATATTCCTCCATAGGAGACTTCACTGTTAATGAAAGAGCATCTTTCCTAAATCACCTTCCTCCTAACATATTTGGTAAGCATCTCCCAAGTAAAATGTGATGTTTTTTATATATATTATTGTCATAACACTGGAATTCTTAATTTGGTATTGTACTACTGAAACTAAATTATACTGGCAGTATAAAGATCTGTGATTATGATCATGATATTGATAGTCATCATCATTACTACCCTATTACTTTCATATGATAGGGAGACATTTGACAAAGATTGTAAAGCAGTGTTGGGAAAATTATTTTAAAGCAAATTGACACCTGATCTTTCACACCACCTTCCGTGCTCTTGAGCATCAAGAAAAACTAATATATACTGTAATGCATCACTAACGATAAGCAAAACATGGACTGCAATATTTTGTTTCCTAGACTGATCACAAAGTAATTTACACACTCAAAAATTGTTAGTCATGTGCTCAAGACCTCAAGACAAACTTTTTCCTTCATCTGCCTGTCTTTCTAGTGCAGTGTGTGTGTACCTTTCATCCACTTAACTATATGGCTAATAATAAGTGAGAAAAATGGCCAGGGGTCCCTCATTTATGAACTAATGTTAGATTTGTCGTGATTGAACTTAGAAAAGGCTCACGAGAAGTCCAAGCCTCCTTTACCCTCTCTCCCAACCTTTCCTAGGCTGACCCCTACCCTGCCTTCCTTCCACTACAGATATATATTTTGTTCCATCCTCACTAAATGTCCAAACCACCTCAGCAACCCCTCTTCAGCCCTCTGGATAATACTTTTAGTAACCTCACACCACCTCCTAGTCTCCAAACAAGCAATTTTCTGCATAATATTCACACCACACCTTGCTCTCAGACATAACATCTCCACTGCCTCCATCCTTCTCCTTGTTCCAATATCCACCACCCATGCTTCACACCCATACTCGCTGTTTTCTTCCTTGGATAACGTTTTTTGTCTCCTCGGTGCACCATTCACCTTTTTACCCTTGTCTTTCATAGACCCATCCACTGAAGAGTCCACTACCAAGTCATCTTCAATGCACCGGCCATATCCCATCAAGGCAGGGTGACCTAAAAAGAAAAACAGCCTTCTTTTTAAATTTAGTAATGTATACAGAAGCAGGGGTTACTAGCACCTTGCTCCCAGTCTTTTAGTCACCTCTTATAATACGCACGGCTTACAGAGGAAAAATTCTTTTCCACTTCCCCATGGAGATAAGAGGAAATAAGGAAGAGTTGACTTGTCAGTGGATGGGTTTATGAAGGATGAGGTTAACCGGTGAATTGATTGATGAGGCACAAAAGGTGATTGGTGCATTGAGGTATCTGTGGAGACAACGTTATCCATGGAGGCAAAGAAGAGAATGTACGAGAGTATAGTGATACCTGCATTCTTGTATGGGTGTGAAGCATGGGCTGTAAATGTTGCAGTGAGGAGGTGGCTGGAGGCAGTGGAGATGTGTCTAAGGGCAATGTGTGGTGTAAATATTATGCAGAGAATTCTTAGTGTGGAAATCAGGAGGAGGTGTGGAGTTACTAAAAGTATTATTCAGAGGGCTGAAGAGGGGCTGTTGAAGTGGTTTGGTCATTTAGAGAGAATGGAACAAAGTAGAATGATTTGGAGACGTATAAATCTTTTTGGGGAAGGAAGCAGGGTGGGGGGTCATCCCTGAAAGGTTGGCAAAAGGGGGGTAAAGGAGGTTTTTTGGGCAAGGGCTTGGACTTTCAGTAAGCTGCGTGGGGGGGTTAGGAAGAATGGAGACGAATTGGTTTTTGGGGCCCTGACGAACTGTTTGAAGCGGGGGCAGGGTAATTTTTTGTGAAGGGTTAAAGGAAACCTTTTAACCAGACTTGAGTCCGGGGAAAGGGTAAGAAAAGTGCCGCCTTTAAAGGAGGGGTTTGGGGAATTGGCAATTTGGGGAAACTCGAAGCTTCATATCGACCCCTCTGCAAAGATAGTGATTATGTAGAGTGATGGTTGAAAGTGTTGAATAATGTAAGTTTTTTTTTTTTTTTGGGATTTTCTTTCTTTTTTTAGGCATTTGTCAACTTTGGGGGGAAATGGCCGATGTGTTTAAAAATAAAAAAAAATTAAATTAAGAAAAAAAGAAAACTCAAAGTAGTGTGTTAGTTACCATTTTGTCCAGGCCCCTGTCTTTTAAAAATAGGCCTGTTGTTATGGTGGGCGTGCGTGCGGTGTGGTGTGTGTTGTGTGGGGTGTGTGTGTGTGTGTGTGTGTGTGGGGTGTGGGGTGGTGTGGTGTGGGTGTTATTACCATTTTGGGCCTAGGCACAGTCGATTAGACCTAGGCCGTTTTAATCGTGCGTTTCGGGGGGTGTGGGTGTTGTGTGGTTGTGTTGTGTGGTGTGTGTGTGTGTGTGTGGTGTGGTGTGGGGTGTTGTGTGTGTGTGTGTTTACCATTTTGCCTAGGCAAGTCGATTAGACACTAGGCCTGTTGTAATCGTGCGTTTTTGGGGTTGGTGTTTGGGTGTGTGGTGGGGTGTTTGTGTGTGTGGTGTACGGGGGTACTCACCCAGTTTTCTCACCTAGTTGAGGTTGGGGGGTCGAGTCCCCGGCTCCCGGGCCCCCCCTCTTCATGATCGCTACTAGGCATCTCCCTGAGGGCCCGGGGCTTTACAACCTCCTTTAAAGCTTGATGGGTCCTGCCCCCACTAATCGCTTCCCAAACTTTTTCCCCTACTGACACTCTGTTGTAAAAATACTTCCTAACATCCGTGATTCATTTGGTCTTCGCTTCCAAAGTGTCCCCTTTTACTGTGTCCAATCTCTGGAACACCTTCTTTGTCCACCTTGTCAATTTCCCCTTTATATTTTGTATGGTTTTCGTCCCCCCCCTCTCTCCGTTTCCCCATGTCGTCGGTTTATTTCCCTTAACCTCTCCTCGTAGGAAAAACCTCTTAGCTCTGGGACTATCTTTTTGCAAACCTTGCACTTTCTCTAGTTTTTTCACGTGCTTGGCTAGGTGTGGGGTTTCCCAAACTGGTGCCGCATACTCCAATATGGGCCAAAACCATACCCCGGTGTCAGGGTCCTGAATGTTTCCCTTTTTAAAAAATGTGGAAATTTCGTTCTGAGGTTTGCTGGGCCCCCATATGCTGCAGCATTTTTTTGGGTTGATGTGCCCCTTCGGGGAGTTTGTGCCGGGTGTTTTTCTCCCCCCAAGATTTTTTTTCCTTTGAGTGGGGTTTTTGAAATCTCTGCCCCCCTAGACTTTTACTTCCGTCTGGGGCCCCTTTTTTGGCCCTTCCCCAATCTTCAGGGACTTTGCACTTGGGGGGAATGAACTCCAGGACCCAAATTTGCTGGACCAGGTCTGCAGCCTTCCAAAATCCCTTTGTAGTTCTGCCTGGCCCCTTCAATCGGGGTGAATTCTTTTTTTTTAAACTTCACGCCCACTTCAAACAGGGACACCTCAGGTCTTTTTCCTTCCCGTATTTTCTTTCCCACAAATACCAAAAAAACAGCACTGGTCCTAGGACTGCCCCCTGCGGGAAACCCCCGCGGGTCACAGGTCCCCACTCTGACACCTCGCCACGTCCCTTTGACTCGCTGCTGCCCTTCCTGACAATTATTCCCTGACCCCATTGTAGTGCCTTCCCTGTTATCCCTGTTGGTCCCCATTTTTTGCACCAATTTTCTTGTGGGGAAAACTGTGCCCAAAACCCCTTCTTGCGGGCCAAAAAAAATGCAATCCACCCCCCCCCCTCTCTCTTGTCTTACTGTTTGTCACCATGTCATAAAAAACTCCTAGGGTTTGGAACGGGTTTCCCATCCCTGAAACCAGGGTTGGCTGCTTTTTGAGGGAGATCATTCCTTTCTAGGTGTTCCCCACTTTTCCCCTTTTGAATCTTTCTCCATGATTTTGCTACTAAACATTCAGTGACACTGGTCTGTAAATTTAATGCTTCATTTTCTGTCCCCCTTTTTTTAAAAAAATTGGGGCTACATTTGCTGTCTTCCAAACCAAGGGAATCTTTCCCCGTTTTTTATAGATTAATTTTTAAAATTTTTGTTGGGGTTAAAAACATAGCGCCTCTTTCTCCCCCTCTCAATAAACCCCCGGGGAGATGTTTCTGGCCCCATTGCCTTTGAGGTATCTAGCTTTACTCCCGAAGCCTCTTTCCCCCTTCTTCCTCGGGTTTTGTGCACTGTGTCCCGCCCTTGGTGGTGTGCCCCCCCTCTCCGTCTTTCCCGGAGCCCCTTTTGTCCCTTGTGAAACCTTCTTTTTGAATCTTTGTTGAGTTCTTTACATACTTCACGGTCATTTCTTGTTTTTTTCTCCTCCTTCCCTTTCCCTTTGCCCGAAATTTCCTGGTCCCCTTTACGTTGTTTTCCTCCCGATGTTTGGCCCGAAAACCCGTTTCGGGTCAATTTGGGTTTCGCTGCTAAAGTCATTTTTTATAGTGTCTTTGGGGGCCCCCCTTTTTACGGGGCAAATTCTTTTTTGGCTCTAAGACTGGGTTTTCCTTAATTTTCCCCGGGTCCCTTTGCCTTCTAAATTTCTTCCCCTTCCCTAGCACCTTGGTTTTTTTCCTCCCTGCACCCTTTGGGGAAACCATGGGCTCATCCTGGCTTTTTCATTAATCCTGTTACCCTTGGGTACAAACCTCTCCTCAGCCTCCTTGCATTTTGTTGCTACATATTCCATCATCTCATTAACTGGCTTCCCTGCCAGTTCTCTGTCCCACTGAACCCCGTTCAGGTAGTTCCTCATTCCTGTGTGTACTCACCTATTTGTACTCACCTATTTGTGGTTGCAGGGGTCGAGTCCTAGCTCCTGGCCCCGCCTCTTCACCGGTTGCTACTAGGCCCTCTCTCTCCCCGCTCCATGAGCTTTATTAAACCTCGTCTTAAAACTGTGTATGGTTCCTGCCTCCACTACGTCATTTTCTAGGCTATTCCACTGCCTTACAACTCTATGACTGAAGAAATACTTCCTACTATCTCTCTGACTCATTTGTGTCTTCAACTTCCAATTGTGGCCTCTTGTTTCTGTGTCCCCTCCCTGGAACATCCTGTCCTTGTCCACCTTGTCTATTCCACGCAGTATTTTATATGTCGTTATCATGTCTCCCCTGACCCTCCTGTCCTCCAGTGTCGTCAGGGCCGATTTCCCTTAATCTTTCTTCATAGGACATTCCCCTTAGCTCTGGAACTAACCTTGTTGCAAACCTTTGTACTTTCTCTAGTTTCTTGACGTGCTTTATCAAGTGCGGGTTCCAAACAGTGCTGCATACTCCAGTATGGGCCTGACATACACGGTGTACAGTGTCTTGAATGATTCCTTACTAAGGTGTCGGAATGCTGTTCTCAGTTTGCCAGGCGCCCATATGCTGCAGCAGTTATCTGATTGATGTGTGCTTCCGGAGACATGCTCGGTGTTATACTCACCCCTAGACTTTCTCCTTGAGTGAGTTTGCAGTCTTTGGCCACCTAGCCTATACTCTGTCTGTGGTCTTCTGTGCCCTTCCCCTATCTTCATGACTTTGCATTTGGCAGGATTAAATTCGAGAAGCCATTTGCTGGACCAGGTGTCCAGTCTGTCCAGGTCTCTTTGAAGTCCTGCCTGGTCCTCATCAATTTATTTCTCCTCATTAACTTCACATCATCTGCAAACAGGGACACTTCTGAGTCTAACCCTTCCGTCATGTCGTTCACATATACCAAAAATAGCACTGGTCCTAGGACCGACCCCTGTGGACCCCGCTCGTCACAGGTGCCCACTGTGATACATCATTACGTACCATGACTCGTTGTTGCCTCCCTGTCAGGTATTCTCTGATCCATTGCAGTGCCCTATCCTGTTATATGCGCCTGATGCTCTAGCTTTGCACTAATCTCTTGTGAGGACTGTGTCAAAGGCCTTCTTGCAGTCCAAGAAGATGCAATCAACCCACCCCTCTCTCTCTTGTCTTACTTCTGTTATTTTATCATAAAACTCCAGAAGGTTTTTTGACACAGGATTGCCTCCGTGAATCCGTGCTGGTTGGCATTTATCCCCCTGTTCCCTTCCAGGTGCTCCCCCACCTCCTCCATAATCTTTTCCCTAATTTTCATACTAAACCTCAATGACACAGGGCTATAGTTTT